AAAAAAAAAAAAAAAAAAAAATAGTTAAATAATTTATATTACACCTAAACAAATTCAATAATTAAAAATTTCTATGACGAAAGAAATTTTATAAAGTATTAAGAAAGAAATAAAAAACTAGTTTAAAACAAGCCACATTTGATATAATAATATGATCTGTTTAGTATTTTTTTTTTTTTTTAAGTATTTTTAGTTAACCTTATAGTGCTTTTACATTTTCCTTACAAGCAATTCAAAATTAAATGAGTAGAATATTGAAAATGATGTTGTTTTTTTTTTTTTTTTCCCCCTTGTATATTTAATGTTTTTGATTACACACAAAAAAGGTTCTATGTGCTTTATTTTTTTTTTTTTTTTCGGTTGCATGTAGGTGCAATTTTTTTGACATTACTTTAAAAAAAAAAAATATAAACCTATTTGTGCACATGATAACGAAGATTTACACACACATTATAAAAAAAAATGCTCATATTCTCTCACCCAAATTACCTTGAAATTTAATTAATATGAAAACAAATGATATAAAATACGCTAAAAAAAAGAAGAACATTAACTATTATCCATTGAAAGTTCAATGAAATCCCCTTTTCAATGATAAAACTGATAATTAGATATAATAAAAAAACTCTAACATGAAAATAATAATTAAAGAAGGAAAAAATAATCATAATATATACAAGAAAACTTCTTAATTCTAAAGAAAAGTATTAAAAGATATTGACAGAAAAATACCTTTTTTTTTTTTTTTTTTTACTATATCTATATATATATATATATATATATAATTTGTTTAAAATAAGAAGTATAAATACTTTATATAATGATTAAAAAAATAAAAAAAAACAGCTTTCAAAATAATATAAATATAAAAAAAGATTAACAATACTTTAATAATTTTTTTTTTAAGATAATAAATAAATAAATATAAAAAGAATTTTTTTTTAATTTACAAAAAGCTCTAATCATTATTATTAAAAATAGTAATCCTCCGATTATATTTTTATATTTTTTTTGAAATTTTTAAAGGGGTAAAAATCTGTATTTTTCATATTAAAAAAAAAAATTTTTAAAAACTTAAAAATATGTATACATGCGTAAATGCTATAAAAAATAAAAACTATAATGTTTCGCATATAAAATTATTATTAGTATGGCAACACATATCAGCAGCAATATTCATAGCTTTATAAGCTATATCTTTAGCACTCAAATTTTCAATATCATACAATGCTCTTGCAGCAGCTATAGCATATGGGCCTCCTGATCCTGTACCCAGAACATTTCCAGATGGTTCTAGAACATCACCATTTCCAGTTACTTCTAATAAAATATCTTTATCAGCCACTATTAAAACTGCTTCTAAATGTCTTAGATATCTGTCAGTTCTCCATAATTTCGCTAATTCAACACAACTTCTCAAAAGTTGATCTATATAATAATAAAATGAGAAAAAACAATATAATATATATATATATATATATATATATAATATCATCTTATATATATTGGTATTAAATGAAATATGTAAAAAAATTTATATTCATGTTTAAATGAAAAACTTACTTGGATATTCATCTATTTTTGTTTCAAATTTATCCAGTAAAGTAAAACAGTCTGCTGTAGCACCAGCAAAACCCATTAAAATATTATCTTTTAATCGTCTTATCTTTTTTGCATTTCCTTTAACTATCTAATTTAATGAAAATTAATGAAATTAATATAATAATTTATATAAATAATACAAAATTAAAAAATGAAAAATATATATGATAAATAAAAAGTTAAGTAGGTTATTAGAAAAAATATCATAATGTTTTAGTAAATACAAAACTCTTAATTAAATAATGAAAATTTATTTTAATTATTACATTAAAATAAACTCTAATTCAGTTTAAGTAAAAAACATAAAATAAAAAATATAATAGAAAAGAAAATTTAACTTTATAAAAAATCACATATGAAAATAACAAATATAACAAAATTAAAATTTATATACAAATTAAATAATTAAAGCAAATTAATATTAATTATAGTGTAAAAAAGGAAAGGAATTAAAAATATATAAAATGTAATAAAATAATATCTCATTAATATATGAAAAATAAGATATAAACCATTGTCCCTTGAGAAACCATTCCATCACCAATTAAACACTAAAAAAAAGAAAATTACAATTAAAGTAATAATAATAAAAATTTTCTATATATTTAATGGGTTATGAAGAATTAAAACAATATACTTGTTTTTTAGATACACTACACCATTTTATTCTTTTATTCTCATTTTGTTTTTTTGTATATTTTGTAATTTTTTCTTTTTTTCTTAATTTACCACTTCATTGTTTTTTCGTACGCACAATATAGTAGTTCCATAACGAGGAATTATTAATTTTCGGTTATCAGAGAAATAATTTCTCTAAAAAAGAAAATATAAATTTAATAAAAATTAGAAATGAGTTATACTAATTAAAAGCTATTTAAAATAATTACTAGTATAGTTTTGGTTATTGGTTTATGAGTATTAATTAAATTTGAGAAGTATCTAATATACATTTTTTTCTTTATTAATAAATTATTAAAAAAGGAAGTAATTTAAAAACTTGAAATATATTACAAAATATTATGAACGTTTCTTTTTTCAAAAAAATGAACATTTATGTATAAACAGAAGAGGCATATATAAACGTGTAGAAAAAAAAAAAAATATACATAAATTAATATATAAAAAGGTAAAGAATTGAAAACATATTTTTATATAAATATGAGGTATATAAAAATAAGTATACACAAAAAAAATTTATTTGAAGAAAAAAAACTAATAAATATTTAAATTTTTATACTGATTTAAAAAAAAAAAAAAAAAAAAAAAAAAATAATGAACGCATAAGAATTTTTTTGTTTGGTTTTTAATTATAACTGGTACAAAATTTAAAAAAAGATTATAAATTCCATAAAAAAATTAATAAACATATAGAACCTTTTTTTTGATTAATTTTAACTTTAATTTTTTTTTTTTTTTTATGAAGAATCATAAGTAAATTATATTGTCAAAAAAACATTAAATGCATAAATAAATAAACAAATAAATAAATAAATAAATATATATATATATATTTTAATTTAATATGAAATTATTTTCACATTTGTAAAAATAATAATAAAATAATAACAATAACAGTGTATTAAATAAAAAGTTGTAGATATTTAATTTATTCTCATTCTACTTACATAATTTTATTCTTCATTTTTATATATTCATAGAACTAGATACAAATGTGACATAATAGTATAATGTATTAGAGTGACATTTCTTTTATTAAAGTTTTACACCTTTTAAAAACAAATGAATATTTATATATAAATATTCCAGTTTATGAAATAATCAAGCACTTTTTTTGGAAAATTCTAATGTTCATTCCATATATGTGATCACAGTCCATGTGTTGCAAACATATTAGCCATATTAATTAAGGTGTTTTCTTCACCTAAAAATAGCTTATAATTTATATAGCAATCATTTTGTTTAATTTCATTAATAAAATTTATTTTTGCATCATCTTCATATTCAAGAGTCAAGTTTGGAAACTCTATTAAATAAGAATGAATTTTAATATTAGGCACAAAAAAATCAATTACATTTTCTCCATATTTCAAAGATTTTATAGTGTAACAATTAAATATATCCCATATTCTTATACCATCTTTGGCTAGAGATATCATTATTTGCTTTTTATCATTTACATAACATTTTATGACGTCATTTTTATGACCTAAAAATATTGTAAAATCTTTCAAATTAAGATATGATTCATTTTCATTTTCATTTTTTGAAATTTCATTTTCTTTAAAATTAGAAAATATATCATCACTTTTCTTTTTTACTATTTGTACATAATCTCCATATTCTTTCAATTTAATGTCCTTTTTACATTTCAAATCTTTTATATTATTTTCATTATTTTTGCTAAATGCAGTAAATGGTATACGAAAAATTTTATTTCCTTTGCATAAATATAAATGAGTATTGAAAGGCTCATTTGAACAAATATATGTGCAATTTTCTGTATTCGTTTTTAAGATATATACAGCTTTTTTTGATTTTAAACCAAAAATATGTAAATTTCCATTGCTCGTTAAGGAAATTAATGTATAATATGTATCATATATATTTGGAGTCACCGAAATAATTTGTCTTATGCTAGCATTTATATTATGTTGGTATAAAAGCATAGGTTTAACCTTTTTTTTCTTTAATACATCACTTAAATTGTACACATGAATAATATTATCATCGCTATATGTATATACAACATTTAATATTTGATCAATTAATATATCTTTAACTTCACCAAAATGTGCTTGAAAATAATTTATTAAAAATCCTGATATAGATGACCATACATAAATATTTCCTATTTTGTCACCTCCAAAAATTATTTTTTCATTTTTTGTTAATTTAATAACGCTCAAATTCACTCGTACGAATTTCGTATAAATTGCAGCATTTTTTGTAGATAAGTATTGTGATATAACTTTTCTATTGGCATTTAAAATAATAAAATTTCCATTATTAAGCATACAGATTTTCTTTTCTTTGTCTTTTATTGAATTTTCATATTTATTTTCACATCTTTCATTATCTAAATTTACTAAAAGTATTTCATTGTTATCATAAACCAACATTATTTTATTATACTCCATTTTGCTATATTTGTTATATTTTTCTTATTATGTTGTTATTTATACCTTATGTAATTTATTTAATTTTGCTTATTTTACTATAATTAGCTATTCTTATTTTATATTGTTTTATTAATTTTATGCTCCTTTTTTTCTAAATCTTCGTTATGTCAGTAATATTTAAAAATTTGTATTTTATATTACTGTTTTTTTCCTCTCTTAATTTCAATAAAAATATATTTATTAAGCTCAAATGTTAAAATTTATTACATCATTTAAAAAAAAGATAATTCTTTTTTTGCTATATATTTAAAAGGGTTTAAAATAATATAAATAAAAAAAAAAAAAAAAAAAAAAAAAATTGCTATAATTGTTTCATCTATTGAGTTTTTCAGAAATATTAATATTTTATTTTTTTAATAATTTTATTATTAAAATGTTAATATCGAGAAAATTGAAAACTGAAAAACAGATTTATTTATTTTTTTTTGTAAATTATTTTTACGTGAAAAATTATAAATAATAGAGTCAACCTCATTTTTATATCTTTTAATTATAAAAATTAAAACATTACAAAAAAAAATTGAAAATTTTTAAGTAGAGAATGTAATAATTTAACAATGAGAAAAATTAAAAATACGTATTTCAAATATTTTTTTTCTTAATTTATGATGTTTTAAGGATACAGTTTCATTACAAAAGCTTCTTTAAAATATCTTCTCATATTGAAGACCCTTAAATCAAGATTTAAGTAGTGTGATCATAAAATTTAATAATAATTATTACTGTTACATCTATTAATGAAAATTTTTATTTAAAATTATTTATTTGAGTAAAATTTTTTCATTCTTCATTGTAGTATATATACTTGTACAATAAAGAACAGTATGAACTTATAAAAATTAGATATAAATTATTACAAAGCTTAATCTTAGGAAATTTTACCACAAATATAGTATAAAATGATAAATTTAATTCTACATTTTACACATTATATATAAGTGTTATCACATTTATTTTTATTTTATTTTATTTTTTTTTTTTTGTTTATTAAAGAAAAAAATATTAATCCTGCTTAAACATTATTTATTTTGTTAAAATATTTTTTATAAAAAATAAAGGAAAGAATAATATTTGCATTTTATAGTCATAAAAGAAAATTTTTCTTATTTCTAACAAAAAAAATAATGAATAGTACTAGACTACGTCACATTGAAAATGCATTAAATAATTTTAATTTTATTTCTCCTTTGGATATTTATATGCGTTTATATTTTAAAAGTAATAACATAAAGAAAAAGGACAAACCTTATATTTCAGAACATGTTTATAATATAATAAAGAATAAAACTTTATTATCATATTTATCTTCTCCTATTTCATTATATACCAATATAATTAAAACTTATTTTTCATCTGACAAGTAAAAATATTAAAGAAACAAAAGAATATCGTTTTTTTTTCTTAATAAAAAAAGAAAAAATAAAACATTGAAATGTGTTCATTTTTTTTTTTTTTTTTATAGATGGAAATATGAAATGAACAACGAGAGAATCCCTGCACATGTAAGATACTCCTTCCCAAAAGAATTATATGATCAGTTAGTAAACTGCTACGGTGAAAAAAGAACTATAACCTTAATGTCTATTTTGAACGAAAAAGCACCAATTTTTTTACGAGTTAACAGTCAAAAAATATCAAGAAATGAGTTGTATAAAATTTTAATGAGCAAAGGAATATCAGTTGAAAAATGTGTAAATTCTCAACATGGATTACTACTTACAAAAAACCAAATATTGAAAAATATTCATGAATACAAAAAAGGATATTTTGAAATTCAAGATGAAGCTAGTCAAATAGTTAGCTCTAAAATACCTGTAAAGCCAGGCTATAAAGTACTTGATTATTGCGCGGGTTCAGGTGGAAAAACGTTAGCTTTTTCAAATTATATGGAAAATACTGGGAAAATATATTTACATGATATAAGAGATAAGATGCTATCACAAGCAAAAATTAGATTAAGAAGAGCTGGAATCCAAAATTACATTCTTTTAAATTCTAATCACATTTTATTAAAAAAATTATTTGGATATATGGATACAGTAATTGTTGATGCACCTTGTACAGGTACGGGTGCATTAAGAAGAAATCCAGAAATGAAATATAAATTTACAAATGATAAATTGTATGATTATGTAAATTTACAAAGACAGATTTTTGAAAAAGCCTTGCTTTACCTTAAAAAAAATGGAAAAATTGTATATATAACATGTAGTATATTAGATGCTGAAAATGTTCATCAAGCTAAATATTTTTGTCAAAAACATAATTTATATTTATCTGAACCACCGTTTCATTCACTACCTCAATCAAAATCAATGGATGGTTTTTTTTTAGCAATTTTTGAAAGAAAAGAGTGATAAAAATGTACAATTTTTATTATTCTTTTAATTCTTCTTTTCCTTCCATATGATATTTTATTGAATTTTAAAGTTTTAATGAATTTTTGTATAAACATTACGGGAAAAAATAAATATTTTTAAGGGTATTTTTTTTGGTAAATTTTAATTAAGTGTAATGCAATTATAATAATGTTATGTTTTTGTTTTTATATATTTCATATTAAACTTTTTATTTATTATGTTTTTATGACTTTTTGTATTCCTTTTTTACGAATCTCTAATTTCAAAAGGCATATAAATATATACTCATATATATAATATAGTATATCAATAATATATAATTGTACTAAATACAACATTTCTTAAATTAATTTTTTTTGTATTATTTATATAATTAGAGCAATTAATAATTAATTTTTAAAATTCTCAAATGCTTTAAAATGAGAATTTCACATAATTATAATCTTATATAAATTCTATTATTAATAGTATAAAATTATTTTTAATTCTGTTTTTTTAAATATTTGTATATTTAACTAAAAAAAAAAAAAAAAAAACATATTTAAAAATATAAGGCAACATTTATATTTTTTCTTTTAAATGTTATCTTTTCTAACATTAAATATTTAATTAAAATAAATATACATATATGCATTGTTACTACCTTAAACATTTTAATTTCACTCAATTTGTAAATTTTTTCTGTACGTTTGTATAATATTTATTTTTAATAATACACTTAAAAATAATATTATGTTGTATTAACAAATGTACAATAAATATATTTAAAATTTCAATGTATAGAAGTACTTTATAATAAAATTTTTTCTATAAAAACATACTTTTACATATACTTAGGAAAACACGAAAAGCAAAATTTTTTCTTCTTTTTTATGAATATTTGGTTTTTCATAGTTAATATGTTACTTTAATAATATGATTTAATTTTTTATAAATATAATAATTACATCTACATGTTTTCCCAACGTTGTTTTTAAAAACTAATTTTCAAAATATGTTAAAATATAACACAATTTATAATATTTTTTCATTAGAATTACATAATTATTTAAATATTTAAATCTAAACATATACAAAGTAATTCAATCTTTTCTTTTTTTTTTTTTTAAATTAAAACTTATAGATAATTTTCTTTTAAATAAAATATAGAAACTAAATTTCCATAATGTGAAATTTTACCCTTTAATTAAAATGTTTATTATAAATAATAATATTAATAAAAAAAAAAAACTTATCTGAATTTTTCTTTGAAATAAATATTTTTCTTAAAAAACATTTATATATTAATGATTATAATTCATTAAAATTTTAAATTTTAGAATCTTCCATCTTAAAAATTATTAATTTTTTCTTGTATATATATTATATTGTTCCATTCTACTTACTAGTTTTACTAATATTGACATACTGTTTATACTATTGACATATAAACTGTGGTTGTTATTATTAAAAATAAAGATACTTTTAACCAAAGTTAAAGAAAATTAAACTTATGCAAGCTTATATCATAAATAACATTTTTATATATTAATTTTTAAATAAAAATTAAGGTGCTAATGTGTCGAAGAAAAATATAAATTTTTTTTTTTTTGGTTTTTTTTTTTTTTTTTTTTTTTTGTTTAATTTTATCCTATTTTATTATTTTTCTTTTTTTTTTTTTTTTTTATTAAATATTATGTTTAATTTTATAAATGTAACAATTCTAAATTATGTATTTCTTTCCGAATGAAAGTTTTAAATATGTTAATTTTTTTTTTTTTTTTATTTTTTATTTATGCAAACATAAAAGAAAATTTTATTTAAATATGTATTTATGAAAAAAAAATACATAAATACATAAATATATATATATATATGCATATTTAAGTACATTAATATTAATATTTGCATTTAAAATATAATAAAATAAATTTAAAGTATAAATCTTATTTTTTATAGTGTGTATTTTTTATTGTATATATATATATATATATATATATATACTTTTTTAAATCGTAGATTATATTTATTTAAAAACAAAAAGGAAAAAAAAGGTAGTATGTGTTTTTACTAATATTTTTATGCGTATTGTTTTTTTTATTTCTAAATAAGGGTGTTTATATATATATTTAAAGCATTTAATATTTTTTAAGATGAATGAATTAATAGTTTTTGACACGAATCATTCAAAATCAATAAATGATTGTGAATTGGATTATTATAGCAAAAAATTGGCAACATGTTCAAGCGATAATACAGTAAAAATATTTGATGTAAGTCTTTCAAAAGATCCTGTATGTATAGCCGAAATAAAAGATCATAACTCAGCTGTTTGGAAAGTGTGCTGGTCGCACCCAAAATTTGGAAGTCTTTTAGCTAGCTGTTCATATGATAAAAGTGTAATTATTTATAAAGAAGTAAGTATAAACAAATATGAAATGATATACTTCAATAATGAACACAAAAGTAGTGTTAACTACATTGAATGGTCACCACATGAATATGGTTTGCATTTAGGATGTGCAAGTTCAGATGGACATATTAGTATAATTTCTTATTCTATGAATAAGGATCCTAATGAAGGACATTGGAATAAAAATAGTATAAAGGCTCATCTGAATGGAACGACATGCTTAAGTTGGGAAAAGCCTTATAATTCCCTATCAAATAATAAAAATTTGAATGATACTGATTTTATAAATTCATTTAAATTGGTTTCAGGAGGATATGATAACCAAGTCATTATTTGGATGTTTGATAATAACACAAAAGAATTTCATAAAATTTTTCAGATGAATGATAAACCACACAATTCAGCTATAAAAGATGTTTCTTGGAGACCTAACATAAATAATTCAACAAATATCATTGCTTCTTGTTCAGAAGAAAAAATAGTTATATTATGGGTAGAAGATGTAAGTAATAACAGATGGAAAAATGGTCAGGTTATAAAATTAAAACATAAAATTCATAAAATAAGTTGGTCACCGAATGGCACAATTTTAGCAATAGCCTGTAGTGACGAGAATGCTTATTTATATAAAGAAAACATGGAAGGAATATGGGAAGAGATATGTAATTTAAATGATGATAATTCTTTATCAGATTCCTTTAATTTACCAAATGAAACAAATAAAAATAATTTTCCTATTAATCAAGAAAATATATCTTTAACAAATAACACGCAGTTTGATGAATATAATACTTCATATATGAATGAAAATTCAAATATTTCAAGTATTAACATGAATTACCCAAATAAAGGTATTAATATAAATAATATGCATCAATTAAATTATCAAAATAACAATTCCTTTAATTCTTCTTCTCAAGAAAATTATGGAGCAAATACAAATTCATTAAATCTTCAATATGGAAATTCACGTACGCAAGAAAATATGAATTTAAATAGTTCAATTCAAGTTAATCCAATTCAAAATAGTGCAGCACAAAATAATTTAAAAAAAAATAACCCAATGCAAAATAATCCAATACAAAATAATCCAACACAAAACATATCAAGCGTACATCAAAACAACCTCTATGGTCAAACATCTTCACCAACTGTTCCATTAAACCCTAATATTCATAATTTTAAAAATAATGCAAATCAACAAAATTCATCGCAAAGTTATTTAATGACGCAAAACAAAAAAAATAGCACAAGTGTTGCATCAAATATAAATAGTTTTCAAATGGGCATACCACCACCACCTCCACCTCCTCCCCCATCTTCACAAAATAGTCCTTATGGAAATTCGAACTTTTCTTCTCAACAATTACCAAATTCTTCGTCTAATTCATATCAACCTAATTCAACTTCACCATACTTTGCCCCACCACCACCAGCATTAACAACAGCAGGGACAACAAATCCAATGATAAATAAACCTAATTTTTCACCATCCTCACAAATATCTACTAATTTTACATCACCTCAACTTTCAACTTTTCCAAAAGCAGCTACATCTTCAGTACAACATCCCTCATTTTCAACTATAAATACAAATAAAACTAATTTCACACCACCCTCTCAGATAACAAATTTACCTAATTCTTCTAATTCAATGCAACCACCCCAATTTCAAAATATTAATTCCAATAAAACTAATTTTAGTGCTCAACCTCCCCCACCACCACCACCTCCATTTCCTTCCACATCGACTTCACAAACTAATGTAAAAGGTATAAATAAAAAAAATAGTTTTTCTAATTTTAATTCTAATGTGAATCAAACAAATATACCTACCACCAATTCTGCTATGCAACCTACTAAAAATATGAATGCTAATTATCCTCAAATGGGTTATCATCCACCACCCCCACCCCCTATGAATGCAGTGAATGAAACTATTGTGAAGCCAACTAATCAATTCACTTATCCTAATTATAATACTTCACAACAAAATACAAACATTAATAATTGAAGAACAGTAATAATAAAAACAAAATATAAAAGACAAAAAGGAAAAAATAAGGAGGTATCTATAAGCAACACTATTTTATCATTGCATTAGAGATGTGAACGAACATAAATTTTAATAGAATATTCCACCTACCATAGTGTACATATGTAAATATATATACTTATAAATTTTAGTTAATTGAAGAAAAAAAATAAACAAAAATAAATAAAATTATCTTAAATTTTTATAATGTGTTTTATATATTTTTTTTATTTATGTATATTTTTATCAACAATTTTTTTTTAAATATGTGAAATAAGAATGTGGTAAATTAACATTTTTTTTATAAAAAATATAATTTTATCTCAACTAAAATGAAAAAAAAATTATTCTAGTTAAAATTTTACCCAAAATTTTTTTATTTCCCAATAATTCTTTTCTTTTTTTCTTATAATTTCATATACAAAATTTATATATATTTATATATATATACTTTTTTTTTTTTTCTTTTTACAAAAAGAATAAACTTGAATTAATTAAAGGCTAATTTTATTTTAATATAGGAAAAAGCTATTTGGAATACTCAAATAAGCGTTAAAATTTTAAATTCGTTTATTTTTTTTTTTTTTTTTTTGAACAATTTTTGTAACGTAAAAATTAATTATTTAAAACTCTCGTAACAAATTTTTATTAATTTTATTTATTTTTTTTTTTTTTAATACATTCATTGTAATTTTAAAGAAAAAAAGAATTGAAAAGAAATTTAACTTTTTTAAGAAAATTTATTTATTATAAAGTTTTTAACTAATCTACTTATATATTCATATAATATTTTTTTATAATAAATTTGAGTACTTCAGAAAAAATTCACAAAAAATATATAGATAAATAAAAATTATGTAAATATAGATAATTTTTGTAATTTGATTTTTAAATTTTCATTTCTAACAAATTCAATTATTTTATTAATTTTTTTTTTTTTTTTTTTGAGATGTATCATTATGTTTTTTCATGAAATATACAAAATAATTTATATTTGTTTTTAAATATATTTTTTTTTTTTTTTTTTTTTATGGAGTAAAATTTAAAGAAAATATATATTTAGAAAAATGTCTCAAGAAAATAATGAAGTAATTATGAATGATGAAGCAAACGAATATACCGAAGAAAACTTAAATGAACATTTTAATGAATTCAAAGTAAAACATAATTAAAAATAAAGCAATAATTCTATTTTATTTTTATAACAATATATGGTTTATAAAACTATTCTATATAGCTAAAATTTTATTTTTCTCATATAATTTTGTTTTATTTTTTATAGAAAAGAGAACATGTATATTTAGCTTGTATATCATCATTAGAAAAAGAAATATGTCAAACACACACATATTTGAATGAATGGAGAAGTATGCATATGTATGATGATGAAGATAATAAATCATCAAAAGATATCATAAATATTAATTCGTTAAGAAATATATTAATTGATCCATGTATTAATCTGGAAATAAAAGAATTAAGGCAAAAAGTTTATGAAATAACTAGAAAATGTAATTTGGCTGAAGAAAAATTACAAGGATGTAACTTCGATGCACAAGCCACCGCTGGACAGAGATTAATAAACAAATGCAAAAAATTACAAGAAGAAAATTATGAACTTGGAAAAACGTTAGAAGAGAATAATTTACAATCGTTGTCAATACAGATTTTAAATTTAAAACAACAAATCGTTTTTTATAAAAATGAATTAAAAATATTAAAGGAATTGAATGCTGATATTGATGAAGATAACGAACTTTTAAGCCAACAATTAGCCGAACTAACTAAAAAGTACACACAAGTTACCGAAGAAAAAAATGAATTAGAAAAAAGTAATTTGAAATTAAATAATTATATTGATTCATTAAAATCAAAATTAAGTAAATATAATGAAATCTCAAAAGATGAACAGAGACACAAAAAGAAAAATAATTATTATTATAATTCTTCTGAAAACAATGCAAATAATGAAATTAATAATAATGAAGAAAACCAAGAAGAATATAAAGATGAGGAAGAAGAATATGCAGAAGAAATGGAGGATAATGATAATGAAGAAGACGAAAATTATCAAAAAAATGAGGACTTTGCAGAAAGAAAAGAGGAGGAAGAAGAGTATACAAATGAAAATGACAGTTATAAAAAAAAAAATTCAGATGAAAGTAGAGATAGAAAACATAGAAAATTGGATAAACATTACTATAAGGACAAAAAGTATGATAAAGATAAATATAAATTAAGAGAAAAAGAAAAGGAAAAAAATAGGAAAGATAGAATAAGAGAAAAAGAAAAAACAAAGGAGAGAATTAAAGAGAAGCTAAAAGAGAGAGAAAAAACTAAAAATAAATATAAAAATAGAAATAAGGAAAAAATCAAATCAAAAACTAAAAAGGAACAATATGATGGTAATTATTTGGAACAAAAAAGAAAATTTACAAAAGATCATGATAATGATTTTAGAGAAACTCCTAGAACAGATAAATTTGATAACTCTAACAATGTTTCAAAAAATGATGATATGGAAGATAAAACAAGTGAATGTGGCAGGTATGTATATATATTTAAATGAAAACAGTATTACATAGTACTTTATATTTTTCTTAAATAAAATATTTTTTTAAGATACTTTTTTTTTTGATTTTTTAAAAAATTTTTTTCTTTTATCAAAAATTTAATGTGTTCTTATTTATTCCTTTTTAAATTAAACCATACTTATTTCCACATTAATACATGTATTCATTTTATTTTTTAACAGTGAAAGAGAAAGATCGTGTAGAAAAAAAGAAAGAAGTAAAAATAAATACAAAGAAAAATATAAAAGTCGAAAAAGAATTAAAATAAGAAGCAATGATGAGAAAGAAGATGATGATGCTTATGATAAAAAATCAAATGGAAGATCATGATTTTTTTATTACTATTTAAAATATATAATTTATTTTTTAATAAAGTTGTTATATAATAATTTCCATATTTTTTATTTATTTTATTTTTAAACTTTTTATTATTTATGCAATAATTAATGTTTGTTTTTTTAAGTTAACATAAAAATTACTTTTGCTATTTTAAATTGTATTAAAATTTTTTAAAATATTTTATTTCATTACAAAAAAACTTTCTTTTTAAATTAAGAAAAGAATTGAATGAGAAATTTAAATATAAAAATAAAAAGAAGTAAAATTACTCAAAAATTTTTATATTACAAAAAGTACAATTGAAAAAATAATAATTTTATATATATACAATTACAAATATTTTTATTTATTACAAAAACATGAAAAAAATAAATGTAGAACACGTCATGTTTTTTTTTCTTTTTTTTTCTTTTTGTATATATTTCAAAACATTCTCTAAATTATTTTTGATTCCATTAAAAAAAATTTTTTTTTTAATAAACATCATTTTATTAATTTAATAAAAATTTTAAATAATCTTTTTTTTTTTTTTTTATTTAATTTGTTAATATGTTCATTTAAATAAAAAATTATGAAAGATATTACATTTAAAATTATAGGTTAAAAAAAAAAATATATAAAAATAAAATAAAAGAGTATGAAAAAAAGTAATATGTATATTGATGCAAAATATGAAAATTATGGATATTCAAATGTTGTAAGTAATGATGTAAAGAGTTCGTTAATTGAAGGAGAAAAAATTTCGAACAAATTTCGAAATAGAGGATTGACAAGAGATAAAAGAGCAACTATAAATTCCGTACTAGATAATAGAACTTTAATTATTTTGAAAAAATTAAAAGATAATTTATTAAATGAAATATATGGGGTTGTTAGTTCTGGAAAGGAAGCTTTTGTATTTAATTCACACAAATATTTAAATGATGAAGAATTAAATTTGATCAAAGAAATTATATTAAAGCGAATAGATAAAAAAGAGTGTAGGGATAGTATGAAAAAACCTATTTGCAAAAATAAAAATAGCAAAAATGAACAAGATAAAATAACTGATGAAAGTGAAATGTATGAAAATGAGGAAAATGAAGAAGAAGAAGATGAAGAATGTGAGGAATATAAAGAAGAAAACGAAGAATATGAAAAATGGAAAGAAGAAAATTATGAAAATGAGGAATATGAAGATTATAAAAATGAAGAAAGTGAAGATTATAAAAATGAAAATGAAAATTATGAAAATGAAAAATATAAAAATCATATACCTAATAATTTATATAAAATAAACAATATAGATAATAATTCAGAAAAAAGAGAGGTAAATGAATTAGAAAATATAAAACTACAAAGTAAGTCAGAAGAAACTTTTGATATAATAAATGAAATGAGCAAATTAAATTACAAAAATATAGAAAACAATCTAGATATTTTCAATAAAAAAAAAGTAGCTATATCATTTGCTACAAAAATATACAATACGTCTATTTTAGTATTTAAAAAAAGATCTCAATATATTGAAGGAGAATTTAGATTTAGGAATGCTTACACAAAAAATACAAATCCACGAAAAATGGTTAAACAATGGTCAGAAAAAGAATTTCGAAATTTAAGACGAATCTTAATTTGTGGTTTAAGATGCCCTTATCCTTTGGTTTTAAAAAGTAATGTAATTGTGATGAGTATGCTTGGAAATTTAGACAATGCATGCCCCAAATTAAAAGATTTAAATTTGAGTACATTAAAATGGAAAGAATTATATATTGAGTGCATTTGTATTTTAAGATTATTATTTTGTAATTGTAAACTTGTTCATGCTGATTTTTCAGAATATAATTTATTATATTTTTATAATCATATTTATATAATTGATGTTTCCCAATCAATGGAAAACGATCATCCTTATTCTTTAGAATTTTTAAAAAGAGACTGTTTAAATATAACTAATTTTTTTAAAAAATATATCAGTAATATTCAAAATTATGAATCTAATAATATGCAGTCAAATGATACATATATTGATGATCAAAAGAACTATAATAACATGGAAATCTCAAATAATTCATATGCTAATAAAATATCCTATGATTATTTAAAAAGTCATACATTAAATGAAAAATCCGATAAATATCTAAATTTAATTAACTCTTCAAGCGAAGATTTTTACGACAATATACAAATTTTACCTCTGAAACATTTATTCGATTACATTGTATCATCCTCTCTTCCACAAGATGTATTATATTTCTTAGAAAAGGACAAAAAGAAAATTTCTTTAAATTATTTTGAAATGATTTACCTTCAAATTTTTGGCTTATTAAAAAACACTACTCCAATACCTAAACTAAACTTAAAAAAAATACAAAAAAATAGAATATACTTTGAAAAATTGAAGAGAGCTACATGTTACTATGTAACAAAATTTTCTGCTCAAAAGCACTTAAATCAGAAAAATTCCGATAAAGAACAAATAGAGGAACAAATCTTCTTAAATTCATGGATCCCTTCATATTTAAATGAAATAAAGGATATCAAAACGATTGAAAAAGACTTAAAATTGTTAAAAAAAGGGAAATCATTAGCCAATAATTTCATTTTAACTAGTAATGATAAAACAAATAATTACCATAAAGAGAATAGTTATATTGAGAATAACTGTGAAAATACAAAAAAATACAACAATGAAATTAATGAAAATCATCTTTTGAGAAAAATTGACTTAAATGAAAAAAATGAAGAGCTTAATTCACAAAGTAAACAAAAACCAGACATTGACAATAGAGAGCTTAATGAAAAAGAATATGAAAGAAAAAACAAAGAAAAAAACACTACTGTATTAAACGGGAAAAATTTGTCTATACCCCTTGAAAAGAATTCAGATTGTGATCTTTCAGATTCATATAAGTCTTCCATATTAAGTATATGTAATTCTTGTTCAGAGAATGAACAAGAACAAGCAAAATTCAAAGGAATAATACCTGAAGGTGTTACAAGAAAAGAATGGAGTAAATTAGTGAAAGAACAGAATAGAGAAAAAAGAAAACACAAAATACCTAAATATCAAAAAAAAAAGAAGAAAAAAAAAGCTCACTTAAAAAAGAAAAAGTAATATATCAATTACTTTAAATATAAAGTTCTAATAAGAATATAAAAAAAAAAAAAAAAAAATATATATTAGGATTATTAATAAATTTAAAAACTTTCTACTATTACAAATTTTTCCTATTAATTTTACAAAATATATAAAAATTGGGAAAATTTTTTACTTATAAATAAAAAAAGAAAAAAGAATACAAAGAAAAAAAAAAAAAGTAGAAATATAGCTTTTAAAGAATATATTACATAACATACATAAGATAAAATTTTAACAAAAGTTACCAATTTCTTTTTTTTTTTAAATTGTAAAGAAAATGAAAATTTTGAGTTTAATTGCCTGTATAATATAGGAACATGTAAAAATATTACAGATTTTCTTATTCTTGAGCGTATTTATATTTATTAATTATTATGAATAATGAAGATATATTTCCCCTTAAATATTGAGTTATTACATATAATATTTATGTCCTATAAATATTATTTAATGTTTCTTAATAGCTTACACATTAATTCTTTTTTTTGTTTTGATATTAATGATTTAATAATTAAAAATATATTTTCTCTAAGATTTTGGATAAATAATACAAGTATAAATATAAGTAAGGCATATCTTAAAAAAGAGACTTGTGTAAATATATAAATAATTTATTATTAACCTTTTTATTTTTATTATAATTACGTATATAAAAATTTAAATATATATATGATTACATATATAATGTGTCCTTGCATGAAAATCGTTTTAGTTTGACTTGTTTAAGATATACATTTTATTTTTCATTATTACTGCATAAAAATTCAGTTATTTAATTAAAATTTTTACATTAAAAATTTTATTTTATTTTTAGTTTGATCATGATATTTTATATTTCTTTTATTATGTAAATTTAAATACTTCTTTTTATATTTCTATACTTTTTATTTTAAATATATTTATTATTTGTCTTATCATTTATAAAGATGTTTTTCCTTTTAGACATTTTTTTTTTTTTCTTTAATTAATTTTTTAATAATTCTCTCTCTTAAAAGAATTAAGATTAAACTTTTTTTTTTTTTTAATATATTTAATTTTTAAAGAGATTTGTAAATAATAAATATTTTCTTTTCTTTTTTTAAATACATCATTTTAAGAATATTAATTTTCTTTTAGTAAAATTCTACATTTAATAACTATACTGTTCATTATTTTATCTTTTTTGTAATACAAAATTTATTCATAAACTATATTTTTCTGAATAATTTTTTACTTTAAAAAAAAAAAAAAAAAAACATAAACTTATTAAATTTTTTATTTAGAAATACTAATTTAAAAGATACATATACATACATATATGAAAATGTTTAATTTTTTTTATTTCATATATGAGCACATTAGTATTGCATAAATGTTAGTACCCGTTTTTTTTCCCTACTATTTTGCACATATGCATAAATTTATTAAAAAATAAAAAAATAATAGAGTATAAAATAAATTATTCTAGAATTTTAAGAATATTTATTGATAGATAAACTTTAACAAATATCATTAAAAAGAAATTTATATTAACTTTTTTGTTTCATGTTTTTATATGCCTTTGTTTTTTTTGTTTTGTTTTTTATCTTATTCAATATAAATAAGTAAACAAACAATTATATGCAAATTATTGTTTTTTCATTTACAAACCTTAAATAATTTTTCATTTTTCCTTTTTAAATATCTTTTTTTTTTTATGTTAAAAGCTCTTAACACATTTAAAAAAAATGTCTCAAAATTATAACATTTTTTATAAATCCTAAAAAAGAATGAACTTTTGTGATGTAATAAATTCAAAACATCAATTAATATAAATAATTTTTGATATTTAGGAATTATACTTTATTACATTAGAAATATTTGGATTTCTTTATATGTATTTTTTCTTCTTATAATTTTGTAGTTTCCTATTAGCAATTCAAAAGGAGTGTGTCATAGGCAAATAACTAAAGAATATGTTAAGATATTAATAATAAATAATAATAATAAATAAAAATAATAATAAATAAATGAATAAAAAAAAAGAGATTTATCTTTCATATTAACTTTTGCATAAGCTTTTTTATTTTTTTCATTTATTTTAGGAAAATAGTGGTATAACTAAATTTTTTTTAAAAGATTTAATAAAAGAGTCATCATTAAAAAACAATGATAGTATATCAAACAACCAAATCAAAAATGACGAAAATAATTTTCAACAAAATGTAAAAAAATTTTAAACATTTTTTTTTTTGGATAAAAAATGAGTAAATAATATATATTTTATTTTACTTTAATCTGTAATAGGACAAAAATCAATCTTTTAACGTTTCTTATACATGGGAAACGGATACAATAAGTGGACTAAGGTAAATATATGTAATGATATTAAAAGTAATATTAACAACATATAAACTATAAGCATTTTTTTTTTATATTTTTTAGATTCATAAATGTTTTAAATAAAAAGGATAAAAAAAAATTGGGGTTTCAATGTAAATTTAGATAAAAATGTAACAAAAAAAATACACATAGATGTTATCTTAAAACATATAAAAAAATATATTTTTTTAAAGGTATTTATTGTAGAGACAAACAGCTTTTTAAAAAAAAAAGTAGTGTATTATATCACATGGTTACATTTAACCATGGCTTAAAAACTAGTGTTATAGAAGAATTAAAGGTTTTTGTTAATAATTATTATTATTTCTTAATATTTTTTTTTTTTTTTTCTTTTGAATATTTTTTTGTATTTTTTATCTTTCATATATTTATGTAAATTAGTAGAATAGTTGTTATTTTAAAAAAAATTTCTTATTACAAAAAAAAAAAAAAAAAAAAAAAAGAAGAATAGTTAATATATCTGTTCTTATTTAAATAAATTTTAAATTTTACTATATATTTTTATAATTTACATTTTTGTTTATATACATTTTTAATTATATTAAAATATATGTATTTTTTTTTTTTATAAAAGATTGAGAGGAATTTGGATGATAGATTAGATTTCATCAAAAATTTTAATTTAGAAAAACCTACAACTGAAAAAAAGGAAAATGAAATTCAAAAAGAATTTGTTAATGATTATAATTTAATTAAACTAGAAATAGAATTTGTTTCAACTTTAAATTTATTAACACACGAAGAATTAAAGACACTATTTCTTTTGTTTTTCCCCGAAAATTTATTGTCAATTAATCAGTATATGAGTAAAGAAAATATTATTGAAATTTTTTTACTCAATATAAGTTCAATTTCAGAAAAATATTCTGGAACTATTAAAAAAAGTATATTTAATAAGAATACATAAACTAAAATAGTTTGCATAAATATTTTTACTTCATTTTAAATTACTATTTTTGAATTATTAAAATAACTTTTTTTTTTTTTTTTTTAGTATATAATGCCCCTATTCTTAATAAAGATGTAGATCACATATCACTAAGTGAATATTTGAATGAATTAAAAGGCACAGTAAAAGGGGAATCTAATCTAAAATATGATACGAATATAAAAAATAAAGAAGTCATTAACGAATTAATGAGTTTTAAAAATAAAATTTACGAAGAAATAGATACTTATGAAGAAGACAAAAAAAATGTATCAGAAACAAAAAATGAAAATAATATCAAAGATACACGAGAAAAAAATAAAGAGGAAATAATAGAAAATAATATAAAAGAAATTACAGAACAAAATAAAAATAATATAATACAAGAAAATGAAAATAACATAATAGAAGAAAATAAAAATAATATAATACAAGAAAATGAAAATAATATAACAGAAGAAAGTAAAAATAATATAATACAAGAAAATGAAAATATCATAATAGAAGAAAATAAAAATAATATAATACAAGAAAATGAAAGTAAAAATGATATAACACAAAAAAATAAAAATAACGCAATAGAAGAAAATAAAAACAATATAATACGAGAAAATGAAAATAATATAATACAAGAAAATGAAGAAAATAAAAGAGAAATTATTAAATCAACTGAAAAGAATCATATCATAATAAATATAAAGAATTATGATATCTTTAAACACAATGATAAGTTATTCATTGATTTAACAACACATAAAGAAACAAAAGATAATATACAAAATACGGAGGACACTTTTCTAATAATTAATAATTCTTTAACTAATAATGAAGTGAATAATATAGAAGTAAAACCAACTAATAATAGCTTACTAAAAAATATAAATACCCAGAGAATTAATAACAATGATCAAAAAAAAGAAAACTCTATAGGTGTTTTGTTAAACATGAATAAAAAAATAAGAAAAAACAGAAAAATAAATGAAAATGGAAAAAAATATACTACAAATATATGTAAAAAATCAAGAAAGAATGAAAAAAATTCATTACATGAAAAATTAAAAATAAATAGTTTATGCATAGAAAACTCAGTTCAAGAAAATTGTATCAAGGAGAGCTTAACAAATGAAAAATCCATGATAAATAATTTAATTGAAGATAATTTAGATAAGGAGAATAATAATTTAAATAAAAAAAAATACAATTTAGAAAATTATAAGAAAAGTTATTACGCAGAAAAATCTAGTAATCTAATAAATAATTGCTTAAATAGTGTAGATGTAGAAAAAAATAATAACACAGAAGATGATTTACATACTTATAATGATTTATTTTATATAAGAAATAATGAAAAAAATAATAATGTAAATTATAACAAAAGTATAATAGAAAACAATCATATAAACAATGAAAGTAGTGTTAAAATTAGTGAGGTAAATAATGAAAATAATTTAAATTTAAACAATGTTAATACAAAAAATACAAACAATACATTTATAAGAAAGATTAATTATGAAAAAAAAAATAATAATAATAATAACAATAATAAATTAGTAAATCAAAGGAAGGGCAATTGTATTATAAGTGTGAAAGAAATAAAAAAAAAAATCATGATATCAAATAAAACACTAAAGAAAAATAAAAAACAAAAAGTAGAATATGATATTTTGTTAAGAAGGAATGTAAAAAGTACATATAGTAGAAAATTTTTAGAAGAAAAAAAAATAATGAACATTAAGAAAAAACACACTAAAAAAACAGTAAAAGATAAAAAACCAACATATGTAAATTATGAAAAAAATATTTGTAAATTTATAGGAAAAAAAAAGAACCTACTAATTAGAAAAGCTACTAATTAGAAAAGAACATAGAAAAAAATTCATGAACAAAACAAAAAAGAAGAAAATTGAAAATATTTGCACCTTTTTAAATAAGGAAATCAAGCAATTATGCAATTTATCTAAAGAAAACATAATTCAACATGATAACGTAAATTTAATGTGCACACGTTCTCACAGATTATCAAGATATATAAAAAAATGAAATATTGTTCATATATTAAATTTTTAATTAACTTTAAAATAGTTAACTTTTTTTTTTTTTTTTTTTTTTTTTTTTTTTTTTTTTTTTTTTTTTTTTTTTTTTTTTAATATTCAAAAAATTTTATGTACATTTTATTATTTTTCCTCTTTTTCTTAAATATTTTAATTAAAATTATAAAAAGAAGAATATAAAGAATACGAAATTGGAAAATACTTTTAATAAATGAATATATATAATTTAATTACCTTAATTTGTATTTTAATCTTAAACTAAAATACGAAATAAAAAAAATAATAAATTATAATAAATATAATTAGTTAAGTTATATGAGTAATATTTTAAAAAAATCATTATGTACTAAAAGCAAATGAGCTAAATAGAATAAATCATAAATTATATTTTAATATTATTATTGTTAAATTTTACAATTTTTTAAAACATTTGCAAATTATCCAAATTTTATATAACCAATGATAATAATTTGTTTTAAGGTACAAAAAATTATTAAATAAGAAAAAAAATGTCTCCTTATGAATATTTGTTCAAATATATAATAATTGGTGATACTGGTAATTTAAAAACAAAATTAATATATTATAAAGTAGATAATATAATATTATAATTATTTTTCTTTTTTCAGGAGTAGGAAAAAGTTGTCTTTTACTACAATTTACAGACAAAAGGTTTCGAGCTGATCATGATTTAACAATAGGTGTAGAATTTGGAGCTAGATTAATTAACTTAGACAATAAACAAATAAAACTTCAAATATGGGACACGTATATATATAAAAAAAATATATATTTATTTTAAATGATAAAATTTCACTTTCTGAAAAAAGTTTATATTTTTAAATGCCATTTTTATTTTCTTCATAAGATATTAAATAAAATTTGCTAAAAATTATAAATACATATATAAATATTATGAAAAAAATATATTCTTATGCTAATTTTTATTATTTTTTTTTTCATTATAGTGCAGGTCAAGAATCCTTTAGATCCATAACAAGGTCTTATTATCGTGGAGCAGCAGGAGCTTTATTAGTTTATGATATTACCCGGTAGATATGTATAATTTTACTTGAGTTATGAAAAAATGCATATATAGTAATAACTTTTATATATTATACATTTATCATAAATATTATTATTATATAATAACCTTTTACTTTTTTATTTTTTTTATAGAAGAGAAACATTTAACCATTTAAACAGATGGTTAGATGAAGTTCGACAAAATTCAAATCCACATATGGCCATAATCTTAGTAGGAAACAAATGTGATTTAGAAAGAAGAGAAGTTACAACTGAAGAAGGTGCACAATTCGCTAGACAAAATGGATTGATATTTTTGGAAACTTCTGCAAAAACAGCAAAAAATGTTGAAGAAGTACTAAAATATTTAACATCATATACATTTTGCGTAATTATAATATCTTTTTATATACATTTGGTTATTTTTATTACAGGCTTTTATATACACAGCAAGGAAAATATATGACAACATTTTAGAAGATGTTTATGACCTAAGCAACGAAGTAATTTTTAATATTATTACATATTTTTTTTTTATATAATTTATTATAAATTTCTATAAAATAATTTTTGTTCTCTGTAGTCTTATGGAATTAAATATGGACCAACTAGCCAATACTCAAGAGTAAAATTGGGTAATATATGCGTAAATAGATACATATTTATTATTTATGTAATTATATAAATTTATTAATGTAATTTTTTTTCTTTAAGATTTGCCTTCGACACCAGAATCAAGATCATCTTTTAACTGTTGTTAAGTTTTTTAAATTAGCGTTGCATGTTATTTTACGGTTATTCTATGTACCTTCCTTTTAACTAAATATTATTCATAAAATGATAAACTAGAAATAATTTTTAAAAAAATTATATTTGAATGAATTTTTATTACATGATTTTATATATTGTTCTTTCTTTTTTTTTCTTTTTTAGTATCTGTGTAATAATTTGTTCCTTTTTATTCAAAAGTGCAATTCTTTTTTTTTTTTTTTTTATTATGATATATATTTAGTTTTTTTTATTAAATTTGAAAAAGGAAAAGTTGTATGTAATATTCAGGTTTTTCATCTTTCTCATATTCCTAAATAACTGATAATTATAGATCTTAAAAAAAAGAAATAAGTAAAATGACAATTTTATTTTATTTTGCTTAAAAATACGTGTGGAGAAAAAAATGTATATAAAAAGAAAAACACGAATATATATGTATTCTTATAGCATATGTATTTAATTAAAAAAAAAGGAAAGAATAAAAAAATATATGTACTAAAAAAGAGATTATTTTGTATATATTTTATAAATAATTTAACTTTCCTATTTATATCTGAGTATTATGATAATTTTATTTAATATTTATTTTTTTTTTTTTTTTTTTGTAAATTTCTTATATTAACCATTATATGCATTACTGCTTTTTTGTTATGCATTGTTGTTTTCTTTAAATTTTTTACATTATTTAAAGTTTTTTAATATTCTTATATTTTCTAACATGATTAACATTAAGTACTTTGAAATGTATCATAACTGCGGACACTACAATGACATAAAAAATCATTCCCATAATTATCCCCAAAATATTCATCATAAAAGTCTTTATCAATAAAATCACTCCTACTACTACTACTTTCTTCACTAGCATAATCATATGAGGATGAATAATTTTCATTTAAGTAATTCGCACAATATATATTTTGTTTAATTGTCGTTTCTGTATTATAAATTTCATATATTTTTTTTTTTTGTTTTTTTCTTTTTTTATTTATCATTTTTTTATCTTCATTTTCATTTTCTTCAGAATTTATATCACTTTTATTTTCACTCTCACATTCACTTCCACTTTCACTCTTAATTTGTTTATCACAATATTCTGAAGGAATTCCTATTTCTATATTTATAATACTGTCTTTTTTTTGCTTTAAATGATTCTTTAAAAACTTATATTCTTCAGAATTTTTATAAGTATCAGCATTTATGTATCCATTATATAAGTAACAATTTTTTATGCTTTCATTTGCTTCATCTTCATCATATTCTATGTTATCAAAGGATAATATGTCATTTTCTAAATAAGAGCTGCTATTCAATCTATCATTTTCATTAATTCTTCCATAGTCATCCATTTGTGTTGTATTATAATCCAATTCAAAACTAAAGGTTTTGTTGTTCAAAAGAAAAGTGTTATGATACTCATTATGTAAATGTGTTTCATCATACATGTCAATTATATAATGCTCATTTGGTTCTAATCCATAAGAACTTTCAAGACACTTACTTATATTATCTTTTATTATTTTATATTTTTTTTTTTTTGTATAGTGAGTTCCAATTTTACATTTCGCTAATTTTCCATTAAGTTTATTTTTTAAGAAAAAATGACAAATAAATAACTTAAAATCACCAATCTTGTAATTTTTATTATATAAACTAGCAAATGTATTAAAAATATATTTAACAAAAAAATTACTTATCAATCCTTTAGTTGGCTTATTTAAAATTTGATTAAAGTAATTACCAAAAATGAGATTAAAAACTATTTTAAAATTTTTTTTGATTTCTCTAAATTTTAGTCGTGACTTTTTTAGTCCTTGTTTTCCTAACAATTTACTTAACACCCTTGAAAATTGTTTCCATGACATCTTATTGTTATATTAAAAAATTATTTTTTCTTATTTTTAATCATAATTATATTTTAAAGACATAAAAATAATAAAAGAAAAAAAAAAGATGAATAAAATTATTTAATAAAACAAATTGTCATTTTTAATCTTAAAAGCAAGCACGAAATTAAATTTTCACAATAAAAAATTTATATATTTGAGTATTTGTTTAAATTAAATTACTCTTAATTTATAATGTTAAAAAATATATATATAAATAAATAAAAGCAATGATTTAAAAAGATTAAAACGTAAAGATAAAGAAATGAAGACAAAAATAAACAAATACTTTTTTACTTTTTTCTAAAAAAATAAATTTATGGTACTTTTTAATTTAAAAATTTGAGATAGCATATAAAAAAAAGAACAGTTTGCTAGAATCCATAGCTGTTCTACACAAAAATAACATCTTTTTAATAAATAAGAAAAAAGTTAAAATTTAATATATATAAACTTATATTTTTATTATATTTTTAATGAAATAGCTTTTTTATCAATGAGATTTTTTCATTAATAATCATATAAAAAGTATTCATGTATATGTTCTTGTGTGCAAAAAAAAAAAAAAAAAAAAAAAAAAAAAAAAATATTATACAAAACATTGGCTTGCTCCTAACTTGTAGAAGAATTAAAATTTTTTAAGGATTCAATATTAAATTAAAAAAATAGTCATGTCATAATTTAATTTGAACAAAATATTTACAAGAATAGGAGAATCTTGTATAAGGATCTCATTATAAGGGAGTGAAATGGAAATTATTTTTCTCTGTTAATGACTTAAAAATATAAAGTTCTTAACAATGCTTCTAATTCAATATACATTAACGATATCCAAAGATAAGTATTTAGATCCTTATAAATATTTTCTACAAGTAAACATGCATGTATATAGCATTTATGGCCTATTTTGAATATTCAACTTATTTTTACAAAAAAATAACTTAATTTCCGTGAAAAATATATTTCATTAAATACATTTTAAAATTTTTTCAAGTTAATAAGTTTTTTTTATTTCAATTATAAAGCAAAACTACTTGTAATAAAAAAATTAAAAAATTCCTTCAGGAGAAAATATATTTTCTATTCAATGTAACATTTCCACAATAACTTATATGTTGTGGTATAGCTTCTTTTTTATAATATATAAGATATATATCAATATTTTTGTAGTGTTGGTAGAAGAAAGTATTTATTTAATGTTGTAAATTTTTTGTTAGCTTTGTTCTATTAGTTCATTTAAAGCATGATGTGAATTCATATGTTTTATCATTATTAAAACACAAAAATAATGAAAATATATAAAAAATATATTATATTCATTTATTAAAATTAAAAAATGGAAATAATGATTTTTATTATTATATATAATTTTATTCTCTTATGTCTAAGAGGAATCTATATTTGTATTATTTTTAAAATTAAGTAGCACTTAGCATTAAAGAAATTTAGCTATAGGAATTATATATTCAAAATTATTATCAATAAATAATTTTTGTTATTATTTTAGTATAGACAAATACATAAAATTACACTATTTTTCATTGCTTACATATCCATTTTTTCAAACTATATATGAGGATAATGTAATAAAATAAATTTGTATATATATGTAAAATGAAAAAAAAATTGAAATTTTCTCCATTAATGTATGTCCAACTAATATTTTATATTTCTTCAATTTTAATAAAGTTTCATATTCTTTATTGAAAATTTTTAGAATTTGAACAAAATTAATAAAAAGATTTTTAAAATAAATTAATTGTTTTTTTCTTAGTTTTATGAATAAAAATAATATGTTATTATATATGTAAAAGAAGTAAAAATGAAAATTTAAAATACATTTTTTAATAATATAAAAAAACTAAATAAACGTTACATCATTTTAAACTTAGATTTTCATTTTGTAACCAGATAATAACAGAGAGTTCTTACAATGTATTTTGATTAACGGATAGACTGTGAAAAAAAATAATTTTATCTGTAGATGCTAATTTTCAAAAATAGAAAAAAATTTTTATTATTATATTATAATTTCTAATTACACAGGATATTAGAAATTTCTATATTAAAACTAGTATTTTTTCTTATTATATGGGTAATTTTAATAAAATTATATATTTTTTTTAGTTTTTTTCTTCATTTAATTTATCTTTTGTTTTAAACTTTTTTTTTTTTAAATTTTGTCTCATTTTTTATTCTATCGTGTATTATAGTGGAACTATTTTTTTTATAACTTTTTTCCTTTGGATATATGTAAATTCTTACAATTAACTTCAGATAAAATGAATTATAGGAAAATTCATAAGTATGTATATGAAAATATTTCAAATTTTAGTATAGTAATGTAATTGCCCAAGACAAATCCAAAAAACAAAAATAAATAATGATTAATTTTACAGTATTTTCATATTTTTGGGTGAAATTTATGAATTGAAATATAAAGATTTTTTAATAATTAGAAATTATAACTAAGTATTAATAGGTAATATTTATTATACCCCAAGTGTTGAGAAAGGAAATGTTTATTTTTTAATACATATTTTTATAAAATAACAATCAAGTAGTGATAAAGAAAATATAAAAAAGAATTTAATTATGTAATATCACATATATATACTTAAATTTAACAAGAAAGTAACAAAGCATTCAGAACATAAAATGAATGAAAAAATGTTCTCAAAATTAACTTTTATTTCATACTTTAAGATATTCTAGTAATGATATTAGAAAATTAAAAAAATGTGTATTATATTTTATTAATTTCTCAATGTTACATATACGTTTTAATACAATTTATTACCTTAATATTTCATTAAAAATAATACAAATTTCTGATAAAATATAAATTTTGTATGCATTTATATTTATCAAGGTCATTCGACCAAATGTTTAATTTTTTTCAATGCAAAATATTTGTTTCTTGTAAAAATATAATATTAACTATGAAAAGGCATAAAAAATAATTATAAATATTGATGAATACAATTTTAATATATAAATGAAAAAAAAATTATTGCTTAAAAATATTAAAAAATAGCATGTTTCTATTTTTCATAAGAATAGAAAAAATCTTCAGAGACTAGACTAAGAAATTCAATTTATTCACTAAAGATAAAAAAAATTGTTTTCGAAAAATGAAAAATGTTTTGGAATTAAACATGAAAAATATAATGGACCCTTAAAGGAATAATAAAAGATTTAACAAAATAAAATAAAGGACTTCTAATTAAAGTTTGTTTTTATCATTTTCAATTATATAATCCATATTATCATAAAAAGACAATGATTTTTATATTTAAAAGAGTAGAATAAAAGAAGAAAAATATATATAATAAATATAAAAATGAAAGATATTAATCTTTTTCCATTCTTACAAAATTAGATTGGAAAATATGTGTAAAAGATGAAAAAGTTAAAATTATAAAATTTATAAAAAAAAATTTATTCTTACATCTTCTTAAATATATCTTACTTCACACTTCATTAAATATTTATATTTTTTAGAATTATTATTAGAAATAAATTGATACAAAAAATTATCAAAGGAAAAAATTAGAAAACTTTGAGAATAAAAAAAAAAACATTAAAGTACTACTTTTTCATAAAAAAAAGTTAAGTATAAGATTACCGTTTATATTTACAGTGAATAAGTATAATTTGTATGTACCAATAGCATATAAAATGTAATCTTTTAATTTATCTGGAGCATATTATCTAAATTGATATATTGTACTTCACTAAAATTTTTATACATATTTTTTTTATGTTTTGTCTCATTTTTTTTGGATGTATAATCTTTTATGACAAAAATTAGATATAAATATTTTTAATGAATTTTTTTTAGACAAAATATGTATAAATATTTGATTGCAATACCTTAGGAAGGCGTCACACAGTTTAAACATTTATTTTTCGTATGTTCTATTAACTTATTAAAAATGATTAATTTATGTTTTCTGTAAAATATTTGCATATTAAACAAAAAAATTATGTAACAAAAAAAGAATAATAAATATAATAAAAATGCATATATTTATTGTACGAGTATTTTTTTTTTTTTGTGTAAAAGTAGTTATAATGTTTTACATTTAATTTTAGGTAGATTTAAAAGAAAAAAGTTTATTCATAAATGTTCTCTATCATATTTTCGCTCTAAAGGAGTAGAATAAAGAGTACTATTTTCAACACAGTGATATTGTTACATGAAACAAAATTATATATTCCTATTTATCTAATTAACATTAACTGTTTTTTTATTATTCTTTAAAACTCCAAATATATTTTTATTCGCATCAGTCTATTAATTTAAAAACTTTAGATCATTTATTAATTTATTTATATTCACTGCAAATTATATACAAAAAAAAAAAATGAAAATTTAGGATTTGCAATTTTGTCTACTTGCCTATAAATATATTTACACATTTAATCTGTATAACCTAGTTAATACTTATTGTAATATATTATTTATTACTATTAATTAAATTAAATATTATTCATTATTATTATTAATAAATTATTTGGTTCTGTATATATTTAGTTTAATAATTTTATTTAGCACATTATTAATTATAATTTATTATTAAAACCTTATTTTAATATTATTATAATGAATTAATTAGTTAAATATTTTTTTTAAATAAATATAGCTTATAATTTTTTTTGAAACATTTTAATATTTTGTAATTAATAAATTATTTATTTTATTTTATTTTATTTTATTTTATTTTATTTTATTTTATTTTATTTTATTTTATTTTATTTTATTTTTTGTTTCAATTAAGAAATACTATAATATATATATATTTTTTTATTTATATTCAATTAATTTTAATGAAAGTTAATTGTTTTATTTATTATTTTTAAATGGTTAATTAATTTTCATGCATTGTATATATTTAATATTTATTTGTTGTTTAATTATTAAAATTTTGATAATTATTTAATTTAGCTACAATAAATGAATTATATTAAATTCATTTAGCATTTATATATGTTATTTTCAGTTTTGTTTTATTATTTTAAATTGTTTAATCAATTATATAAAAATCGAATATTTGCATATTTAATTAATATTATTATATGAGCTCCCAATTGTATATATATTTAATTGATTAATTCTTTATATATATATGTTTACATATTTTTTTACGTAAATTTATTAATTTACATATTTATATATTAATTTTATATAAATTAACTAATTATATGTTTATTTTAATTATAATTGTATATTATTTTTTTTTAATTAAAATAATTATTTTAAATTATATATATTTTATCATTTATTGAATAAATTGTTAATTATAAATATATATATTTTTTTATTATTTATTTAATTAATTATATATTTTTTATTATTAAATTAAATTATTTATTTTTAATTATACATATTTTATTGTCTATTGATTTAATTATTAATTATAAATAAATATATTTTTTATTGTTTAATTAATTATATATTTTTTTATTATTTAATTAAATTATTTATTTAAAATTAATTATATATTTATTATTTACTTAATTAATTGTATATTTATTATTATTTAATTAAATTATTTATTTAAAATTAATTATATATTTATTATTTACTTAATTAATTGTATATTTATTATTATTTAATTAAATTATTTATTTAAAATTAATTATATATTTATTATTTATTTAATTAATTATATATTGATTATTATTTAATTAAATTATTTATTTTAAATTATATATATATATATATATTTATTATTTATTTAAAATTAATTATATATTTATTATTTACTTAATTATATATTTATTATTTATTTAATTAATTGTTTATTTATTATTTACTTAATTATATATTTATTATTTACTTAATTATATATTTATTATTTACTTAATTATATATTTAATTAATTAATTAATTAATAATATATTTATTATTTAATTAATTATATATTTATTATTTATTTAATTAATTATATATTTAAATTATATATATTAATTATATTACTATTTTTGATTATTATATTTTTATTATTTATTTAATTAAATTATTTATTTTAAAAACATAAAATTTTGCTATTTATTAATTATTAATATTTATTTTATAATACATTCTTATTTTTATTTAAATAAATCATTTACTATAATTATATATTTTTATTATTTAATAATTAAATTACTAATTTTAATTACATATATTTATATTATTTATTTAATTGATTTATTTATTTTGATATCATATATTTATTTAATTAAATTATTTATTTTAATTTATATAATTTTATTTATTTAATAAAATATTTTATTTTGATTATATATTTAAATTATTTATTTAAATATTTATATTTGTATAATAATATTATTTAATTACTTTTGTATTAATTAATTTTAATTTATTCTTTTAATTCTTTATTTTTAATTATTCATTTAATTATTTTTTTTATTTTAATTATATACATCTTTTATTTAATCATTTATTTATAATAATTATTCATTTTTAATTATTTATATAATATTATTTTATTATATTGTAATAAATTTTTATTAAATTTGCATAATTATTTATATTTAGCATTTATGTTAATTTATAATTTATTTAATACTTATATAATCACAAAAATATACAAATAATTCTAAATTATTACATTATAATGTTTAATTTATTACTGTTATTTTTGTTTATTTTATATATATATAAATATTTAATATATAATAATATATTATTTTCGTTAATTATTAAGATATTTTTTATTTTATAGCTATTTATTTAATTTTATAAAACTTTTATATTTATATATATTATTTTTTACAATAATTTCTATATTTTTAATTTTATATTTTTGCATAAATTATTTTATTATTATTTTAGTGTTTTTTTTATCTTAAGCTAGATATTTATACAATTTTTTTAATTTTACACTTTTTTGTATAAATTTATTCTATTAACTTTATTTTATTTAATGCATATACTTTAATTTTTTATTTTATATTAAATTAATTAAAGACTTTTTCTCCAATTGTAAAATAATAATTATTAGTTTTAATTAATATTATTAATTTAAACATTTTTTTTCAAGAAATGAGACCAATTTATTTTTATTTATTTTTTTTTTAAGTTTATCATAAATACTAATTTTATTTAATAGATACATCTGTTTAATTACTTTTTTAATATATTTGTCTTCATTTTCTAATTTTAGCTTTAACACTTTTAATTTAATTCATACGATTTTTATGTATTGCATATGTTATTAGTCATATTCTTCCTGTTTTTTGTAAATTATTTTAAAATACATTTTTTGATAACTATAATATTGTTACAATTTAATTTAATAAATAATATGTTCTTGAACTTAGTAAGTCTATATATATTAAAGAATAAAATTTTGTTTTTTATATATATTATAAGTGTTAAAAACATAATAAATAATATAATAGTCTTTTTTAATTAGGCTTTTTATATGAAAGTTAACATTAATTTTACTTATTTTCATCTTTACCTATAGAATATCTTAACTTTTTTTATTTATCATAATTCTTTTAATTTTTATATATGGTATTCTATATATTATGAAGTATATTTTCACTATTTTTTTTCTTTGGATTTACCTTTATTATTATAAATTTATAAATATTTGCATATATATATATATATATATATAAATATTTTATTTTTCATTATTTCTTCTTAAAATTATATGTTTTCCTTTTTATAATTTTTATACACCTCACGTAACAAATATGCATAATATTGTTTTTATAGATATTTTCTTTAAGCTAAAAATTAATATCAATAAAATTCGTCAATTAAAAATTATCTTTGTACAATATGAATTCAATAAAAAATATGTTAAATAACAAAAGAAATACTTAAATGTCTAAAATTATGTTTCATAATTTTTAAAATTTTGCGAAGCATGAAAATTTGACATACTATTGTAGTATTGATATATTTATAAGAAATTATTGTTAGCTGATCTAAAAACGTTCTTACATGAGAAAATATAAAGCTTATAAAAAAGTATAAAATTAAAATGTTATTATATATTAAAGAAAATTAACTATTAAATTATATAAATTATTTCTCTTGCTCACAACCTTTCTGTGAAGGGTGTGTGGTACACAGTATATTATTCTTTTTGGAACAAAATATAAAACTTATTAGAGTGAATAATTGTATATTTTATATAATTGTATATACAACATCGTATATTTATAAAATTATTTAGTATACTTTTTTATGTTCTTTTACAGAACAACAAATAAAATATAAGCAATACTAAAGACATTTTAATTTAAATAAAAAATTCCATGGTGAATTTTTTTTATTTCGTTTATAAAAGTAATACAACTTAAGAAGAATGTTTAGAATTTTAACAAAAAAGTTAATGATAAGACATTTATGTTCTATTATGGGTTGAATATAAACCTGAAATTTAGGAAGTTAAAAATTGAAAAATTTTACTAAAAATCCTAAAAACGGTTAACTCATAATTTTGAAATTTGTATTAATTTGAAAAATTATTTGAAAAGCAAAACACTGCAATAAAAATATATAGATAACATCTTTAGATCAATTTCAAATGTGAATATATATTCATTTTATTAAGGAGTTTATCTAAAATATATTATGTATAATCTTAAATAGACAATATTATAATAAATCTCCTTTAAAAAAATCAACAAGAATAGCACTTCGTTAAGTAGGAAAAAATTAAATATATAATTATATTTAGTAGAATTTTTTTATAAAAAAAAATAGAAAAAAAAAGCTATTGCATTAAAAAATGTGCAAATAATAGCACTTGTTTCACTATTCATTATGGAATAATATAATCATTTTTGTTATTTTTTAACGAAGCAAAATATTAATAAAAATTAATATTTGTAAATATGATATTTTTAATTGTGTGTAAATATTTATGTATAATTTTCTTCCTTATTGTATTTTAACATTATCTACATAAGCTTTTCTATTTATTTTTTTTTTTTAATTTACATTTTTAACCTTTTTATTTAACTTTAAAAATATTCTGTAAACTATCATTAAAATAAACATGATACTTAATATAAATTTTCTAAGTATATCAATTATGTTTTAAAAAGTCTATACTTAAAAAAAATCTCTAATAAGAATTATAAGAATTACTCTTCTGTATTATATCTCTCATTTTTTCGAAGTATTAATTTTTATATAAACGGAATTTATTTTTGTTAAAAATTAACCTAATATATCGTTGAAAGACAATGAATAACCATTAACAGCAATTCTTATTAATAGTTAGACAGCAATCATGTGTTTTCTGAAAATATGCTATTAAATTAAATTTAAAAATTAATAAATAGACAATAAAGCATTAGTAAAAAAAAAAAAAAAAAAAAAAAAAAAATAAAAAATAAAAAAAAAAATTAAAAAAAATTAAACAAAAACAAAAATTTAATATGATGTGGATTTATATCACTCGACTAAAAAGAGAAAAAAAAATCATTCTGTTAATCTAGGATTTTTAGAACATGACAAAAAGTGAGCTCTCCATTTATCTATTTCAAATGATTCAATGAAAAGGGAACAATAATAACAAGACAGATATTCGGTTTTTTTTCCATTACATTCATTCATTATATGTATATCTAACAAATTTTTCTTTACAACTTTGTTACAATATTCGCATGATGTATACATATAACTATGTGAACATTCGGATAGAAAATGGTCATAAATAACAACTAATTCAACTATTAAAAAACAATTTGGGCAGGCACAAAGCATGGGACACTTTTTAATCCAATGTTTTTCTAAACCTATTTCTGTGAAACCTTCATCCATCCTATAGCAATATTTGCAAGTAAAAGGAGGAACGTGATCTTCATTATTTTCATCTATTTTTGTGGAATCTGCATTAAATTCACCCTTATCTGACACTTTGTCTTCATCATTCATTCCTTTTTTTTTGTTTTCTATATCGTCATGTTTTTTTTTATTATTAATAATGTTTTCATTTAAATGCATACTATTTCCTGTTATAAGATGACTTGTATCTTTTTTTTTTATTTCAATGTTATGTGGTTTCTTAATCTCTCCATTTTCTATAATGTTTTTTTCTACTAGATCCTTATCTTCTGCATGATGCATTTCTTTTTTTAAATTGACACTTTCCATAAGTGTTAATTTTGGAAAATTGTCAACTTTTTTATTATCCTCCGTATATTTATTTATAGTTTCACAATCTTCTTTTTTGTTTTTTTCTGTGTTGTTGTCACTAATATTTCTAGTTTCATTAATTATTTCTTTACTGTTTTCGTTTTCTATAACTTTAGTTTTTAAATAGTTCTTTTTTAAATAGGTGTTTTTCTTTAATAATCCATCATCATTAATAAGCATACATTTTTTTATGGATACTTCACTTTCAATTCCTGGTATTTTTTCATTATTATCATACCCTTTGGATAAAAATTTACTGACATTTTCTTCTGCTTTTATTTTTTCTTTTTCTTCTTGGTTTATACGATTTATTATAATATTTCTGGTATCAAACGAAACATTTAATAAAAATTCTTCAAATAATTCATCACGGTTTTCTATAGTATTGTATATATTAATAAAAAAGTCAAGAGATGTTTGTTTAATTGATTCAAGATCTACTTCAAGAAATAAGGATATAATTTCCAATATTTTTTTTAAATTTATATCATTTTTCACAGATGTGTAGTATTTATTTATCAAAGAATAGTAAAAACTCATCAAACTAACAATTATCTTTTCATTTATTTCTGATGTTACATCAGCAGAAAAAAAATAAAACAACATTGATAAAATTATAGAAAAAACATTTTTAAAAGAAGTGAAATTGTTGTGTAGCATCATCATTACTGTTTTTATACAAATATCTATAACATCAAGATTAGAATCATCCAAGCGCTTTAAAAGTGAAGAAATTATACATTTTAGATATTTTTCATTTTGATCAGTATAATTCTGAGAATTTGTGTCAACTAAGTTAAAAAAATAATCTTGAAACAAAGTTAACATTTTTTCTAGTATGACAACGCTTTTGACAAATATATTATAAGAGGAATCTGATATTCCTCTTCTAATGATCAAGCATAAAGATTCTATATTGTTATACCAAAAATTTTTTTTTTTATTTTCACGATCTTCAAATGGTTTATAGGCATAATCAAATCCCACTTCTCGCTTTTTTTCATCATCGCTGCAAATTAACAATAGAATTTTATTTAAGTTAATATCATTGTCATTATCATCCATATTTTGATTAAAGATTCCACAGTTTTTTTTTATATTTTTTATATTTTCATTAGACATAATTTTATTTATCTCTTCTTCATAAAATTCAAGTTCTTTATAATATAAAACTAACCATTCATAGTACCACTTTTTTGAACAGTCATTGACAATTTTTAATTGTTCAATATTTTTTATTATAATTTTTATCTTTATTTCTTTTTCTTTTAGTCTTTTAGCTTTTCCATAATTTTCTTCTCTCACATACTTCTTTTTTTTTCCTTTTAAAAAGGTAATTATATTTTTTAAAAAAACAAAAGTGTTTACAATTTTTTTTAGTTCATTTGCCTTATTGAACTCCTCTTTTGCTACACATTCACCTTTTAAATTTTCAAAACATTTTATTTTGTTCTCTAATTTTTCGTACAAAACATTAATTTTATTCTTGCTACACTTTGAAAGAGATTTTCTGAAACTTCCCAGATATACTCCATCCGAAATATTTTCTGATGCATTTCTATCACTTATACAAATATTATTTTTAGTTATTTCTTTTTTTCTTAGTAATGTTTCGCTATTTACTAAATCTAAATTATAGTTATCATTATCATTTTTAATTTTTTTTTTTGATAAAGAATTTAATTTATATAATGAAGGTTCTATCTCAGATGAAATTACTAAACGTGTTTCTTCAGGAATAACATTAATATAGTATAATCCAATTTGTGAATAAGTATTTAGGTGGTTATTATATGGCTTATGAAGTCTTAATTTGATAAATGCACATTTTATAGTACATGGCAAATATACATATTTAAGCTCTCTAGCACAATAACTTGTAGAAACATTGTCATTAAATCTAAAAAAACCAACTTTAGAATAATCTTTATTATTATTTGATACAAAAATTTCAATTTTCTTGGTTATTGTATATTCATGAGACAAAAATTCTAAATATTTTATTTTAGCTGGTTTTATTTGTAAAATAATTTCTTGTGGATATATACTATTTTTTTCGCTTAGCCATGGCTTATGAACTTTATTGCCAGTATTTTTTAATATATTTAAAATATCATAATCTTTATCATTGGATGATATACTTAATATTTTATATTTTAATTTAATATTATCTCTGTCTTTTGAGCTCATTTTGGATTTTAGCATGTTTGTATTTGTAATTTTGTGGCATTTAAAAAAAATTATTTATATTTGTAATAAAGAAAAAATTCGCCAAGTGTTATAATTATTTCAAATGATTTATTATAAATAAAATAATAAATTTTTTCAGAAAATTTTATATAGAAATTTAATCTATTTACTGTCTTTTTTTTCTTTTTCGTTAAAGTAAAATATATACATTAAAAGAATAACACTTTTAGTGTAAAAGTCTTATAAAAAAAAAAAAAAAAATTAATATATAACTTTATAGAATGTGCTAATTTATTTTTTTAATGAATGTTTTGTAGAATTATTTAACGTGCATTATAATAAAATAAATTTTAATTATTTTATATTTACATTTAAATTAGGGTATTAATCCTTGAATTAAATAAAAATAGAAAAAAATTCGAGTTATGACTAGAATGTCCTAGCTTTATAAAAAGGTTAATTAATTAATGATTAGAAATAATTTATGATTAAAAATAAGATAGATCAGCAATTTCTTATTTTTTTATAAGTTATAGATTTGCTTTTATTTGTACAGCATTAATAGAAGTAAAATATTTATAAATGAAAAAAAAAAAAAAAATATATATGAAAGCAAAAGTGTTATAACCAGAAGAGTTACAGGAAAATTTTTTTGAAAATTCCAATACTTAAATAGAAAAAAAATTTCACTACTATAAATATGAAAAAAAAAATTAATCTTACACAAATGATAGATGAATAAAAAAAAAGAAATTTAAAAATTCCACTGAATACTCTAAATGGATTTTTTATTATAATAATGTTATGAAGCTAATGTAAGTCATTTATAGAAATTTATTTCTATTAATTAAAAAAATAAACTCTTTATTTTTTTTCTCAATAAAAGTATTAAGAAAAGAACAAATGAATTTTATTGAAATAGCAATCAACTTTTTTTACAAATCATTGACGCAAAAAAATTATTTACAATTAATATAAAAATAAAAATTTAAAAGAAAAGGGAGAACAAAGGCATAATAAAAATATGCATTAAAAGGTAAAATTTCATAACAAAAAAAAAAAAAAAAAGAGTTATGGATTATTAAATATAAAGTTATTCAAAATTATTATAATATAAAATTAAAGGAAGTTTATGAAAATATAATATTAATACAATAAATCCACACACACACACACACACACAAACGCACACACGCATATAATCCTAATTAAAAAGTAAAAAACAAATAAATGCAAATATAGATACACAAATATTTTATTCTTGCACCAATGAATGAAGAAGAATAATAGTATATAAGTATTTTCTGTTAAACATATATATTCAATAATTCTTATATCTATAAAGACTATTAGAAGAAACATTAAAAATACATCAATAATTGAACCTTATGTTCAACTAAACAGTAAGTCAGTTATAATACCAACAAATGAAAAGATAGTCAAACATCCCAATAATACATAAGTAGTTTCTACATGATATTTCTGAAGAATAGATGGATACACGTGAATTCTAATTTTCATTATTTCTATTTTTTCAGAATTATTTTTCTTTAGGCTATTAACATCACTATCATCCCCAATTGCATCATTTAATTCCTATAAAAAAAAAATTTTTTTTGAAGCATAAATATTATTTTTTAAATATTTTCATATTTATTAATCATAAAAAAAAATTTATTAACTTTAAATTAAACCATTTTAATATTTTAATTACAAAAATTACATTATTAATAGCACCTTTCATGTAAATAAAAAAATGTCACAACATAATAAATGAATTAGATAAGGATATTACAATATTTTGTGCATATTAAAAATAAATATATATGCTTTATATCATTTCAAAATTAAATTTATTTAAATACATAATCTTATTTTAAAATTTGTTTTTTATTTTTTAATACCTCAGAATAAATAACTTCATCTTTAGCTTTGAATTTTATATTTGATTTTCTTAAAGAAGTTTCTTTGATAATTTGTAAACTATTTCTTTCATTTATACTTTTCTTAATTACTTCATTATGATTTTCTAAACTTCCAGATAAAGACCGCTTGAAAAATTCATTCGTTCCAAGCATACTTGAATTCAGAGTAGTTTTTAGTTTTTCACATTTTAAAATGTCAGATTTATCTTGAGGATTAAGTTTTGTGTTTTGAGAATTATTAGAAATATTGTTGAGTTCTTCATTTGAACTCATATCCTTTTTATCTGTATATTCTTCATTTCTTTCTAAAGGGTTTCCAAATAAAAATATTGAACACAAATGATCTAAATTTCCTTTTTCTACTATATTATTTGAATAAAAATGTTCATATTTTTTTGTATCTAAGATTTTACTTCTATGAAAAACGTTATAATAATATTTAACAGGACTGTTGTTATCAATAATTTTAAAAGAACTTACATCAACGTAATCAATATCATCATCATCTTCATTAGAAGAATCTTCAGAATTTCCAGAATGAATTTTATTTGCTAGTTCGCTATATATTTTTTCAATTTTTTTTATAACATCTGATTTTTCAATTTTCGGTGACACAAGTTCTTCCGAGCTTTCATTTTGTTTATCTACTACATTAATATTTTTATTAGATTGATTTTTTTTATTATCTGTTGACTCAAAAATATAGTTACTCTCAGATTTTCTAGATATATCTTCATTTTTATTTAGAACATTTTTATCATTCAAAGAGAAATCTGAATCTTTTTTATTATTATTTTTGTCTGTTTCTAATTCATTCTGATACATTTCTCCATACAATTTAGATATATCTTTAAACTCGTAAAAAGTTTTATGCTTAGGAACTTCAATAGTTTTAGATGATTCTATTTTTTTTAATACCATTCCTTTTTGAGTTTTTATGGGGATTTCATTTGAATTAGTAATATTTACTGTTGGTATTTCTAAATTGGTATCATTAGCAATTTGGTAGCTATTAGTTTCTTCTTTAGTTATTTCTTCTTTTTTCATTTGTAATCCTTTTTGTTTTAAAATATCTGGAAATTTATCGCTATTATAATAACTATATATAGAAGAATCGTTACTTATTTTTTTGCGAAATTCATTAATTTGTTCTTTATGTATTGCTTCTTTACTATTTCCCATTATCATGTCTCCATTTGCATGAAATGAAGATTTTAATTTTTTCCTCTGTCGAACAAATAATTTGTTATTTTCACATTTATTATTTGTATTATCGTCATTATTATTTTCTTTAATTAAATTTGATACGTTTAAAATATCTGTTTCTTTTTTTAATATACTATTATTCTGAGGTAGTAGAAATTTGCAAGTTGAATAATCTTCATTATTAGAATCATATAGTTGTAAAATATTATCTTTTTTAATGTCTTTTTTTTCTTTAAAAGTTACTACATTTGCATTCATACTTGCATTTTTTTTGAGTTCTGATGATTCATTTACTTGTAAATTATACATTTTTATATTGGATTCATCTTTTTGAAAATAATGTTTAGAATTATTGAATGAAACATTGTTTTCAGCATCATTATTTATAAATGGATGAATTTTTAAAGTCTCTCTTCTTTTATCTATGCTATTATATTTAAAAGGTAATTCATCAAAATAGCATGTTTCTGAATTATTAATAATATTATCTTGATAAGTGGAAATGCTTTTCTGTAAAATATTGAAGTTGTTGATATCATTTTCATTTGTCAATCCTTTCATGTTAATTACAATTTTGTTATTATTTAAATTTTCTTTGTTTGATTCAATAAGTGCTTCTCTATTTTCGAAAACTAAATCTTCTAAATGTTCTGTTTCAAGTGTTTTGTCTATCATATTGTTGTTTTCAGAATCATTTTTCATTAAAATGAAAGAGGTATTCCCCTTATTTGGAATAAAATTCATTTTTACTCTTTCATTTTTGCAATTTTCTAAAAACGTTGCTTTATATGTATCATCAGATTTAATGCTTTGTAAATTGTATATAATATTATCATTTGCATAACAAAATGTATTATCTCTTTGTAAGTTATCATCATTTTCTAAGGATTCAAAAATTAATGTTTTGTCATTAGAGTTATTAGCATTTTTATTGAAAATGCTATTACAAGAATTTTTTTCATCATTTAAGGTTTGATTTTTTAATGTATTAAAAAAAATATCAATGCTTTGCTCTTTATTTTTTAAGGATTCTATATCTTTCATTAAATTATCATATTTTTCATAATTCTCTAGTAATCTTGATATGGTACATTTATATTGAGATTTTAGTTTTTCTCTATGACGAGTAAAAACTTGTTTGTGACCTTCAAAACTATAAATTTTTGTTGTTAACTCATCTTCTTTATTTTCTATTTTTTTATTATTATCATTATAATTTACAATTGAATCACTAAAATTTCTTTCATATTTTCCACATGAATTAATTTTTTCATTTAAATTTTGTTTTTTAAGATCATTTAGTTTATTTTTAAAAAAAGTTACTTTTTCTTCCTTTTCAAATTTTACTTTATCTTTATTATTAATATTATTCTTATTCTTACTTTCTTTTGCATTATTAAATATTTTATTTTTGTTTTCAAAATTTGTATTTTCGTGGATTGCGTGGCTTGTTTTGCTTGCAAATTCATTATTACTAACTTTTATTTGATATTTTGGTATTTTTTCAGAAAAATATTTTTGATTAATATTTGTATGATCATTAGTATTACGGACATCAAGATTAGAAATTATATAATCCTCTTCACTTCTTATATCAACTTTCCTTTTATTTTTTATTTTCTTGTTAGTCTCTTTATTAAATAAATTGCAATTTATATCCATTCCAATATTTTCGATATTACTATTACTTTTTGATTCTATAAGTATGTTTTTTTTTTCTTTTAATATTTCGAATTTTCCATTATCAAGATTGTCTCTATTGGTTGACTTAAAAATTGGTTCTTCATTTTTTAAGTTATTTTCTACAATAAAGTTTTTGTCTCTATTTAGAAATATGTTTGCACTCTCCTTAATATAATTTTTTTCTGGTATATTTTTAATTTCATGTATAAACTTAAAATTTTTTCTTTTTTCTACATTTTCATCACATTTTTTGTCTTTTGAAGATATGATAATCTCATAATCTTTTTTTACATCTTCTTCATTATATGTTTTTTTTTCATTTGAAATTACTACCTTTTTTTCGGTTTTTTCAATTTTTTCATCATTATATTCATTATATACTTTTATATCATTAGAAAATATTACTTTTTTTTTATTTTTCTGAATATAGCTGTCATTGTCATGTATTTTTACTTCATCTGAAAATTGTACACCTTTTTTTTTCTTTATTTTTTTATTTTGTTCAACAAGTTTTGTGTCTTCAGGTGATGTATATATATTTTTATTTTTTTTATTATCATCATTATTTACTTTTAATTCATCTAAAAACGTTATTTCCTTCTCTTGTATTTTATTTTTTTTTTTGTTAATGTATTCAATGTCTTTTTTTTTTTCGTTACAAAATATTATTCCTTTTTTCTTTTTTTCTTTATTTTGTTCACTTCCGTCTTCACTGTATATTTCTATTTCTTCTGAAAACATTAATTTTTTTTTTGTTTTCAGCTTCTCTTTTTGGTCAAAAGTATTTTTATTTTCAGAAAATTGATAAATTTCTTCTTTGTTCATAGGAATGTTATCTTCAATAATTACATCGGGTTCGTTTAAAAATGCTACTTTTTTTTTTTTTTTTTCTTTTTTAGATTTATCAATATTTTCTGTATCTTCTTTAAAAAATGTAGATATTTTTTTCATTTTTAATTTCTTTTCTTCAGAACACTCTTCTAATTCATCTATAAGCATTTTTTCATTCTTTTTTCCCTCTCTTTTTTTATGATTCATATTGTTAATGACAGTTTCTTTTTTACTTTCATCAAATATTTTATGATATTTATTTTCGTAAGTAAATATATTACTATTATCTATTGTTTTAAAATCACTTGAACTTCTTTTTAAAGGAGTTCTGACTTCATTACTATCGTTAGAACAGCTTTTTAGTCTATATTCACCATTCACAAATTTAAAATAACTATCATTATTAGTTTCATAATTTAATGGTCCATTTTTATTTTCATAATGATCTAATGAAAATTTCCTGTGATATTCTTTTGTTACATTATTTTCATTTTTTTCTATTTGAACATTTTTATCATTGTCATCAAAAGTATCAATTATATTTCCAAGTGCTCTTCTAATGTCTGTGCATGATGAAAACATTGTTTTTTTTCTGTTAACAATAGTATATTTTCTTAGGGGATTCTTGCATATATACTTGTTACTTTCACAAGCTGATATATATGCAAAGGCAGGTGATAAAAAATTACAGAAAAGACCACAAATTAAACTAATATAATTAAATGTATTTGAAAAAATAATACCATTTGAAAATATCCATGCAAACAAAAAAGGAGCTATACACCCAAAAAAAAAAGCTGATCTGTCAGAACATATATCTAAATTCATTAAATCATAACGTATTGATATAGAACCTGTTATAACCTTAGGTGCTACGGCAACAAAATTAAAAATATACAAAACAGATGTATTAATTTTTTTAAAAGAATTATTTAAACAAAAAATTAGACCAAATATAAAATAAAAAATGCTACTGAAAAGAGTAGAAATCCAAATAGATTTAGAAACATTAACTTCATCAGTTATTTCATTTCCCCAAGATGGTATATTACTTACAAATCCATAAGAATCAATAAAATTCGCGAATGTTTTTCCCATACAATAAGTTTTTATCCCCTCTATCTTACTAATCATATAATATAAACTTTTAAAAAAATTATATTTTTTTTTTTCATTTAATGATTTCTGTTTATTTTGGTAGTATTTATTATCAAATTTATTTGTAAATTGCTTATTTTCCTTTTCTTTAAAGTCTTCATTTTTATGTAATTCTTTAACTTTATCTTTTGGAATTTTAGAATTTAGACTGTTCCTTCTTTGATATATTTTATAGACAGAATAAAAATATTGGTTATTGGAAATATTTTTAATTTTTAAATCATTAGAACAACGAGTTAAAATAAAGAAAAAAATGTTGTTATGAAATGTATATGTCTTTTTTTTAAGTAAAGGGTTTAGATGAAAAAAAGGGCAAATATCTAAGTTTTCGAAATATATTTTATTATTTTTATTTGTTTGGGAATTTTTTAGGTTATTATCACTCTTTTTTACCTTTATATTATCTCCAATTTCCTTTATTTTATAAAAATAATCTTTCCAGTAATACCCTTTTGAAAAACTAAGTTTTTCATATTCTGTCAAAATTGTACATTCATCAGAAAATGGATTTTTACATAGAGGAAGCATTTTTTTTAATTTATTAAGTTCATTATATCTGTGATAATTTTTTAATAAATCTTGTTCATGGTTTAAACTATTTAATATAAGATTATTATAAATTTTTAAGTTGTTAAAAGGTGTGGAGGGATCATTATAATTTTGAGAAAGCAAATATATGGTTGAAGAAATGGATAAATATAAAAAAGAACTCATAAATATCATGAAAACAATATATTGATAATTTATGGTTTCTTCTAGACCTTTAGATGATAAATGTATACATATAATTGCATTAATAATGTACCCAATTGTAAAACCTGATATAATTATAGTTTCATAATTCCCTGTACTTGAATAATAATATCCATTAAAAATAGCATCTAAAAGAGTTAATGAACATTTTTTGATTTTTACTTCCGGATAAATTTGAAATAATAATGTATATCCAAATATTTTAATAATGAATATATCTATTATTTTTGATATAACAAGTATTCCACATATGTTATTACATATATTACCTAAGTGGTATAAAAATGAAACAAATCTATATTTTTCATTTGACATAAAATACTTAATGACAGCACTATATTCAATTCTTTGCTCAAAATTTTTATTTTTTGGTATCATTGTCATGGCTCTTAAAATCATTAAACTACAAAAAACTGCAACAGAACATACGAAAAAGTTTCCAAATATTACTGGAATCCATCCTACTTCATCTATTAAACTTGGAATGTCAAATAAACCTATAAGAGTAAATGAATAATTTATTAACAAATAATTTCATTTTGTTATATTAATAGTTTAAAATAGAAAACTAATTTAATGAAAAGTTATGTAATATACAATATTAAAGTATCATAATTATTTTTATAAATATTAAGGTTCTAAAGTAATATGTGAATGTATCACTAAGATTTTTTTTAATAATACGTATATATATATATATATTATACCTGATCCTATGCTTTGATTAAATAAGTATATAAATGAAGCAAACGGTCCAATAGTTTTTGTATATTTCCACGTTATTGTGCGAAATCTTTTACGGCTTCTTACAAATTTCTGTTTGCTATTTTTTTTATTAAAGTTAAAGAGCGATATGCCAAACAGCCATTTTATATTCATCTTCTTAAAAAAAATTTTCTTAATATATAAATTAAAATTGAATGTAGAAAAAAATATTATGGGAGTCACTCATTATGAAAAAAAAATATATATAAATATTTTACTTGAAGATATAGAAGCAATTTTGCACCGAAATGTATAAAAAAAACAAAATAAAATAATTGCTAGAAAATATAAAAAATTGTATTTATTGTAAGAGAAATAAAAATATATATGTACATTTTGACATGTTGTGCACAATTCTATAGCTTATGTGTGCGTGCAATATTTGTTACATAAAAATCTACACACTTTTAATAAAAAAAAAAAATAAATAAATAAAAAACTTTTTAAAATATTTTAGCTTAAGCTATTTTTTTTTTTTTCACATTTTAAGAATGAATAATTTTAAAACCGTAAGTTCTTCATTGTGTGCATTAACATAAAATTAAGACTTATAGATGCGCTTTTTCAGTTTGAAATATTTATTATTATGAAATATAACATACAATTATTTAAAATAAGGAACAAAATTTTAAATTATATTTTTTAATTAACGATAACATAAAAAATTTTAAATTTATGAATGATCTTCTATTTTTTGTACATATAAATTATTTACATTTTATTTAATTTTAATTTATTTTATTTTATTTTTTTTTAATTATTTTATTTTTTTTATGCTGTGGGCATGAATTATTGCTATTCTCAAGTTTTAAATAATCTTAATAGTTTAAAAAAACTGTAAAAAATGATAAAATTTATATTTTAAAATATAATATAAAAAATTTTTAAATTTATCATTATTTTTTAAAATAAAAAAATAAAGAAAATATGTTCCAAGAAAAAGTGTTCAAACATTTTCCCTTTAATGGAAAAAATTTTATTTCGCACATGCTCTATATAAAAAAAAAAAAAATTTCAATATCTTTTGACAAGGATATGAGCTTAATAGTATGGATTAATAAAATTTTGTATAATAAACAATAATTGCAGAAATAGATTTTAAAATGCAATTTCCATGTTTTACATTGAAATAACATAAAATTGTGTGAAGTTTTCATTTTATTTATTGTATTAATGATAATGGAAATATGTTAATTTTCTTTTGAATTTATTAAGACATGTTTTTTATCAGAAAATAATAGGATTAGCAAGAAAAGAAAACATAAGATAATATATAATTTCTTGTTAATAATGATGATGGAATTTTGATATATTTAAATCTGTTTTTTGTAAATTTTTTTTTTTGTTTTATAAAATTATAATTAAAAAAAAAAAAACTTTAAATTATGTGGAAACTTGTATAAATATTAATGAAAAGTAATGTTTGAAAAACTTGAATATTATATATTTTGCTATTTATAAAACATAAATTTATAGAAAAATTATGTTTAGAAGAGTAATTAATTTGATTTATTATTTTAAATAGAAAATATTGAGGAACATATTTAATCAATTATAGCAGATTGAAATTAATTTTTTTTCATTTTTTTTTATATTAATATTTATGTCAAATATTTTTTAAAATATCTATATTCTATAAATATTATTTTAATATGTTCATTTCACCGTTAACATTTGTTACAAATAATAGTTTTGTATTTATTACCATATGATTATAACATGAATATTTATAATTTATCATATGAAATTTTTTAAATCATTATATAATTTTATAAACATTTTTAATTATATTTTAAGTAAAATAAACCGATAGCAAAATTATAATATCTGTATATATTCTTACTAAAATAATGTTTGAGAAAAATTATATCATTGAATAAATTTAAATAAAAAACAATAATCATAATATTTTATATGAATTTTTTTCATATTTTATATGTTTATTAAAAGTTTTTTTTAAACATATATTATTTATATAATATTATTAAAAAACTTTTTTCTATTCTCTTTTCCTTTTTTTTTTTTTTTTTTTAAAGCAATGATTTACAATTGTTAAAGATTTGTATTATATGAATGATATAAATGTTACTTTAAAAGAATTTTTTAATTTTAGAATAAATAAATGTTTTTAAATTTAATTTTTGGTTAAGCATCTTAATTTTATAATTCTCAATGAAATAATTTATGAAATATAAGAAATATATTTAAAGTTTTTTTTTATATTTGCAAATATATGACTATTCATAAAATATATAATTTTTTTTAAAATGTCATTTATGTTGCAACATTTAAATAGCGGTTGGGCAGTTGACCAAGCTATATTAAATGAGGAAGAGAGGTTGGTTTGTATACGTTTTGGTCATGATTATGATCCTGATTGTATGAAGATGGACGAACTATTATATAAGGTGGCAGAAGATATTAAAAATTTTTGTGTAATATACTTAGTAGATATAACTGAAGTTCCTGATTTTAATACAATGTATGAATTGTATGACCCAGTTTCTGTTATGTTTTTTTATCGTAATAAACACATGATGATTGATTTAGGTACTGGTAATAATAATAAAATTAATTGGCCCATGAATAACAAACAAGAATTTATCGATATAGTTGAAACTATTTTTAGAGGAGCAAGAAAAGGAAGAGGATTAGTTATATCACCTAAGGATTATTCAACTAAATATAAATATTAAATACTTTTCAAAAAAATGTTTTTCTCATAAAATATATAAAGAAAAAAAAATTTTTTTTTTTTTTTTTTGAAGTATGCATTGGAAATTGAATCATATATATATGATTATACTTGTGAAGTAAAATAGATATCAAAATTATATTTTTGTTATTAAAATAATGGTTACTATTCAATTCTGTTTGAATATGAAATATATGCTAGGTCTTTCATTTTTATGTATACATACTAATTTAATGTATATAGTTCTATAAAATAATAAAGAGAAGTTAATGAAGATATTTCTAAATTTGATTTCTCACATATTTTCGAGATAATTTCTTATGCATAATTTTTATTAATCTATAATTTGAAGTAATTAAAAGAAATTAAAAAATATTTTATTATTGGGGGATATTTGATATTTTACTTTATTTTCTATTTATAGATAATTAAAACTAATTAATGCTCATTTATTTTTTATTATAAAAAAAAAAAAAAAAAAAACAAATTATATAAAATAAAAATAATGTAATTTATACAAATTATTCTAATGTTGTTTTACATAAATTTTGTATTTATTATTTAGGTTTATTTTAGTATTATTCTTAAAAAGAAATATATATGTAAGGATTATAGGTTAATTTATAACAAGGTCTTATTTTGAAAAAAAACTTATGCATATCTATAAATAAAGCACGATAAAGAATTAATCAATAAGTTTTTTTTTTTCATTTTATTTATATCATTATTATAATTAAGAATATTCATACTTAAACTAAAACAAACATAAAACAAATATATGATAAAACAAACATACAAAAAAAAAAAAAAAAAAAAAAAAAAAAAAAAAAAAAAAAAAAAAATAAAATAAAATAAAAAGATTATAATATAATATAATTTCAAATTTAGAAACATTAATATTGACAAAATTAAAAAAGAATAATAAAAATGGCATAACTAATAAAAATCACTAAAATACTTAAAAAGATTAGAAATTATGAAAAAAAGGAAAAAATGAAAAAGGAAAAATAAAATATTTAATTATATAAATAAATTAATTTGAAAATTAAAGAAAAAAATATAGAAAATAATAATTCGACGTGTGCTTATCCTAATTTTTTCTGGAAAAAAATATATTTTGATATATTTTTAACAGGCTAAATATTTTTAAAAAAAATAGAGAAAAAACAATATAAGGGAAATAAATATGTGTTAAATTAATTGAGTTGTACATATTCAGTTAATTTGTATTATTTTTTATTAGAATACTTCATTCTTATATCAAAATGACAATTTAACTAAAATATGCAGACAATTTCAAGCAGCTTTCACATGTTACATAACTGTTATAAAAATATATTCTTTAAGTAAACTTTAGAGACTCATAATTGTAATAAATTCTTTCTCCTTTCTCCTTTTTCCATTCTCCATTCTCCTTTCTCTTTTCTCTTTTCTCTTTTCCCCTTTTTCCATTCTCCTTTCTCCTTTCTCTTTTCTCTTTTCTCTTTTCTTTTTTCTCCTTTTTCCATTCTCCTTTCTTCATCTCATTTTTCTTATTTTTTAAATATATTTTATTTTATTATTTTTTTTTTCTATTATAATACCTAGATATTTCAATCATAATAATTTTATATTAAACGTTTATGTTGTTATATTATATGTAGAATTGTTTTTTCTTATTTAAAATTTTGAAATAATTTATTTGTTTAATATCTTTAGAAAAAAGAAAAAAATTAAATATCATATTAACTACTTTCCGTCATTTAAATTTGTTGATTTTTTCGAAGATAACAAAACTTATTTTGATTAGCATTTTCGCATTTAAGATCTATAGATTATCATAGTGAATACTTTTAATTAAACAATGTATTGAATATAATTTGTAGTTCACACAATTTTAAATTTACTTATATTTTAAAATTTATATATATATATATACATACATATATTTATTTTGATTATTCATTTTTGTTAAGGAAATAAAAAGAAGCAATTTCAAATAATAAGTCTTTGTTTACGGGTATATTATGTCGTATATACGATTTATTTATTTTAATAACTTCATAAAAAATAATACATACATTTTGGTTTTCTTCCATAATATTTTTTTTTGAGAGAACAGAATTAGGATAAATACTAACAATTTGATTTAATTTTATAATTTTAAGTTCATTTTTATTAACTGGTAATGCAGAGTTAGTAAAAAATGCACTTATAATACATTTTTTAATATTAGATATTGATTCATGATTTTGAATGTTAGTAGAGGTAATTGGTAAGTCAATTTTTTCACATATACTTGATAATTGTGTTTTCACATCTTTAATTTTAATAAGAGTATGATATTGTAAAAAATGATCATAACAAAAAGAAGTAGAAAAATTATTTTCTTCACATTGTTTGAAAATGTTTAAAAAAAGAAGAAAATCCCCTCCTCCTTCAATAGTAAACATTTTTTTAATATTTTCTGCTTCTTTTTCTTTACCTTTTTGAATATAAAAAATATTATTTGCATGAGTTAACATGGATGTGATACTAAGTATTTCATCAACACAGTTATATTTTTCTGAAGCTGATAATATCATTTTACTTGATTTTACATCAGTAGGAAATTCTGCCATTTTCCTTCCTGTTCTGGTTAAATTTCCTTCATCATTTAATGCACCTAGAGAATAAAGAAGTTCTAGACCTTTAATAATAACAACAGGAGAAGGAGGATCTAAAAAATCAAAATTAATTATATCATCCATTCCTAAACTTTTTAATAATAAAATCATACTACTGACTTCGCAGCGTTGAATTTCAGGTATAGAATTATCACTTAAATCTATATATGCTTTTTTTGTAAATAAACGAAAACATTTACCATCTTGTTTTCTACCAGCTCTACCAGTTCTTTGATTGACTGATGCTTTAGAACAAGGTAAAGTAACTAAAGATTCTATACCTGAATTAGGGTTATAAATTTTTTGCTTACATAAGCCTGAATCTATTACGTAAACAATATTTTCTATAGTTATACTTGTTTCACATATATTTGTTGATAAAATAATTTTCCTTCTTAATTTATATGTATTTAATCTCAAATCTTCGTTATTTTTTTTATTACTTTCAGGAACATTTTCTAAATTATTTACTATTTCTTTATCATTAATACTATTATTATCTCCAATATTATCACTATTTTTTCCATAATCCTCATCAGTGATATCTTCAAATATACGTGACTGTAATTCCACAGGTAATGATGAATATATGGGCAAAATAATTAGATTACGAAATTTTGGTGCAAGTTCGTTTAATTTGTTTTCTAGTTCTTGTTGTACTAGTTCAATTTCAAATTGTCCTGGTAAAAAAACTAAAATATCTCCTTTTGCTTGTGTTATATGAATTTGCAATATGGTTATAACAATGGCTGATAAATAATTACTTTCATTATTAATTGTATAGTAAATGTCGACATTATATTTCCTTCCAGGTACATAAAATATCGGTGCACAATTAAAATAAGTAGAAATTTTTTCTGCATCTAACGTAGCTGATGATATAACAATTCTTATATTTTCTCTGAAGTTGCATATATCTTTTACTATAGGTAATATAACATCAGTATGTAAGGCTCTCTCATGTGCCTCATCAATAATTAAAACAGATATATCTTCTAAGGTAGGATTATATAATAATAAACGTAGAAACATTCCATCTGTCATATATATAATTTTTGTTGTTTCACTTGTTTTATTCTGAAATCTTATTACGTATCCAACTTCTTTTCCAACTTTGACATTCATTTCATCAGCTACTCTATTTGCTATAGCTATACATGCTATTCTTCTTGGCTGTGTACAAATTATATTTCCATATAGATGATATTTACATTCATATAAATACTGAGTTAACTGAGTACTCTTTCCACTTCCTGTTTCTCCTACTAATATTAAAATTTTGTTATTCTTTATTGCTCTTAATATATCATATCTATAACTATATATAGGTAATTTTTTTCTTTCATCTATTATTTTTTTCATTTTTTTTTCTTTTCTTTTTTTAATATCTTCAAATAATTTTTGTAATTCCTTTTCTTTTTCATCAATTCCATATAAACTATCTAAATGCACAAATTCTACAACATCTGTTAATCCATTTTTATTAAGTTCTAAATCATCTTTTTCAAAAGATGTTTTATTATCATACTTTTTTTTCTTTTTTTTTTCTATTTCTTTTTCATCTATTATCTCTTTTTCTTTTTTCTTTTTTTTGTCTTTTTCTTTGTTTAATTTATCATAATCAATACTATAGTATTTATTATTAACTTTTTCATAAGTATCGGTATTTTCTTTATAAATACTTTTTTCATTATATCCTTTATCATTTTTTTTTTTTTTTTTTTTTGTTTTTTCTTCTGATATTTCTCTTTTTATACTTTTTCTATTTACTAAATCATCATCAAAAATAAAATTGTTTTTTACATCTTCTTTTAAAGCTCCAGATCCAAATTTTAAAATTCCTTTATTTATGATTTGTTGATCGTAATTATATAAAGATGGGTCTAATTTATCTTCTTTTAAACTTATCTTGTTTTTGTTATCATTTTTTTCAAAATCTTCTTGAAAATAATAGTAGTCTTCTTGCAATTTTTCTCTTAACTTTATATTTTCTTTTGCTATGTTATATATCTTTTTAGAAAATTCTAATTCTTTTTTTTCTTTTCCTTCTAATTTTATTGTACTATATAGCAATTCATCATCTAATAATTTTTTTGTTATATCTAACTTTTCTTTTTCTCTTTCTTTTAAATATTTTCTTCTTGCATCTTTTTTCAAATATTCAATATATTCTAAATTATTTTTTAGTTTTTTGTTTCTCCCTTTCTGACTTTCTAAATATAATGAATATGAATCGTTCAATTTCGATTCTATCTCATTTTCTCCATCTGTTTTTATTTTTTTTTTTGATTCATCATCTTCTTCACACTTTAAAGATCTTTTATGAATATCATTCTTTTCCTTCATTTTGCCATCAAACAAAAATATTCAGATTAATAAAAAAAAGTAAAATATATATATATATATATATATGTATTATAAAAAAATTTTATAAGTTTACATTTACAAAAAAAAAAAAAAAAAAAAAAAAAAAAAAAAAAAGAATATTGAATTCAAATATTTTCTAAGATGGGATGAATTTTAATAAAAAAAACTTTAATAATTATGAGTGTTTTAAAAAAATTATATTTACATTAATTCATATTAAGAATATATATATCAAACAAATATAAAAATAAATGGTTTAAAAATTTTAAATTATTTCTGTTCTAGTAATGTTTCAATAAAATTGTATTATAATGTGTTAAAATTTAAAAAAAAAAAAAAAAAAAAAAAAAAAAAAAAAAAAAAAAAAAACCAAATATATAAATATTGACACGCTTTTTTAAAGCGTGATCTAAAAGTGCCAGAAAATTAAAATAAAAAGAAATGAAAAAAAAATATATTTCATTAAATGATTTTTAATTAAAAGAAAAAGATATAATATATAATGATTATTATGAAAATAAAATTCTCTTAGTAGACGTAAATGATAAAAAAAAAAATATTAGAAGCAATATTGTTAAAAATGTATTATTAATATGAGAATAATAATTTTTTGTTTCAAAAGGTTATATAATTACATTATTTACTCTTATATTGTCAATTCTAATTTAATAAAAATGAAAAAGGAAAAAAATAAATTAATAAATAATTAATAATATTATTAGAAAAATAGTTATTAAATAAATAAAAAATATATTATAAAAAAATGATATAATTGACATGTGTATTTTATAAAAATAAGAGAACTATGTATTTTTTTATTTTGGTATTTTTATATAATGAAATTTCACATTCCTTATTTACGATTTGATAAAGGGTTTATAAAAACTATTAAATTTATACCTTTATTTCTTTTAAATATATATGATTTTCTTTAAATACTAAAAAAAAATATTCATATTAAAACAATTTTGTATAATTTTATTTTTATGTATCTTTCCTGATTGAAAATGAGTATTAAACCTTTTTTTAAGTAAATTTCATTTGAAAATTATAAGAATATGTATTTATAAATAAATTTTTTGTTTTATCCTTTTTATGAGTGTGTGCGTTTTTTTTTTTTTTTTTTTTTTTTTTTTTTCCTTAACATATAGAAAAAATATTATAAAAATATGTTAAAAAATCATATATTTTTATGAATAACAAAATGGATTATTGTATTTATTAACACATTATGACATAATAAAATATTTTTTTTTTTTTTTTTTT